AGAGAGAGAGAGAGAGAGAGAGAGAGAGAGAGAGAGAGAGAGAGAGATGAAAGAGAACATCAGATATTTCAATTTATAATTAAACCAATTGCACGTCCGGTTAATTAATTTGATGATGCTGCACCAATTGTATAGGTCGCACGAAGTCACCGTATTAAAATCGAAACAGTGTGGCCCCTTAAAGAGCAAATAACCGAAATGACTGACACTCATCACTCGCTCGCCATGCCTAATTATGTGAAGAGCTCAATTTATCAATATGAAAATATAAAGAAGACCGCAAGAAACAATCCAAGAAATCACAATGACGACCATACATTTTGCAAATCATTGTTGACAAGCATCTCGTAATTGAATCAAATAATTGATTGTTTTTGGCACACAAGGTAGAAAGAAGACATTTTTAAAGAAATGACAAACAATTTTTTAGGGCATACATGGTTAAATTTATAGTGTCTGTACAACAAAAAAAAAACCAATAAAACCGTCAATCTCAATCAAAGGTTCTCTTCAAATTTATTTTGTAAACTGTATGATATACAGTTTTAAATTATAACGTCACAAACCATTCAGAAGCACATTAATTCGCTATAAAAACTCGAAAGAACAAAAGAAAACCCATCAAAACTATTAAACCATTCCAAATGTTGAATGAATGGAGAACGGAGCAAAAAAAACGACAAATTTCTAAAATTATTTTTTGAATCCTTTAGAATGAAAATAAACTCACTTTTTCTTCTGCTTTTCACCGATGCTTTGTCTCACTGATTTCTTCTAATTTTTGAACTGAAGGAATTGAAAATTCCACTGAAAATTCATCAATCGATATTGAAAGATTTCAAAATCGACATTTACTATTTATTTTTAAACTGGAATAATTCACCAAAAAAAAAAGGTTTTTTAATCACGTTTGTGATTTTTTTTAAAATAAAAATATAAACACGGTCAATACCTTGTTGTACTAGTAATAATTCAGTTGATAGCGTATAGTTGTGAACTAGCGTCGATCGCCAAGCATGCTCTTCCTTTATATGTTTGTAAGAAGTGTTCCCTTTCCATTGGGCCAGCGAATGTTTTGTTGGACGAACCAGAACCGTTGAGTGTTGGACGTGCGTCGTTTCAATTGCATTTATATGCTATACAAATACTACACCGTTCGCGTACAACATATATGTTCACAAAAAAACGTGTACAAAAACCAAACTCGCTCTTGAAACAATTCATAAACATAAATGACTGAATGAAAGACGCAATATTTAAATATCATTATACATACGATTGAATGTGTGATGCTGAACTGAACTGAATTCAGCGACGAAAAACAATGATCACTTCAGTCATGGTTCGTTCAAAATCACTCGTTATACACAAATTGAATACGAATTCGTATTGGTGTTGTGTTGTGTTTCTTTTTCGGGATTTCCGATTCACAATTATAAATTTGTTTACTAATAAAATCATGCTTCAATGTTACGACTTTTTTGGATTACCACTTCTTAATGACCTGGCAAAGACATACCGTGAATTTACATCTTTTTGAGGATCTCTTCAGTTTTAAAAAAAAAAAAAAAACAATTTTCCATTAACTTCAACAAAAGAATACTCATGAATCCAAAGTCAATTGTAAATGTCAGCATTTGGGCCGGCAAATGGTACCGATCATTTCAAACTAAATTACTTTTTTCACAATTAATTCGTAGTAATTTAGAAAATGATATCCAAATTCCCAGCGGTACAGGTGCAGTTCAATTTTGAAGGTAAATATCATCTTGATCGATTGATACAAATAGCCGATTGCCATGAATCCGGTCATGATATTGTCGGGGGAGAATAGAGAGTAAAATGTATCACTTTTAATTTGTATCGTTTGAAACAGTTTATGAATTATGATAATGAGCTTAAATCATTTATAATAAATCAAAAAATGATTATGACTGGTTGAATATATTTGGTACGAAAAATGTTTTGCGTTAATTGATCACATTAATTTTACATCATTCATCAAAAGTAGCGCAAATATCTACAGGAAGCTTGGAGGAACCTTAGTGGAAATTAATTCACTAAGAAAAAAAAAATGATTTGAAAAATGTCTGCGAAACAAATTAAACGATAAGCTCCCGTATTCGGTCAGATAGGACATCTATTAAATTCATTTATTATTCATGGAGTTGATTTTATTAAATGGCATCAACTAAACGTTCCATGTTTCTTTTTCAAATCGCTCTCATTTGAGGTTTTTTTTTCTTCGTTTTTTCAATTTAAATGGTAATTATATGGATATTTAATATTATTACGCACACAAACGCATACGAAAAATTGAAAAATAATCATTTGATTGACACCACGTAATAATTTATGTACATCGTTGAATAGAAACACGAAACTCAATCAAATAAATAAAAAGAAAACGGTTCGCGGTATACGGTTCGCGGTAAATTGAATGTTGCTCATTTTGACAGTTCAACCCTATAACATTGGATGTTGCTCATTTTGATAGAAATGCAAACATAAAACTAAAACGTAAACACCAAAATGTTATAAACAACATTGATCCAACAATGATGTTTATCGAAACAAATTGATGGAAAAATACATTTAATCTCAATTGCTGATGTCAATGTTTAATGTGTGTTAAAAATGAATCAGAATAAAAAGGAAATATGTCGTTTGTGCTATTATGAAACAATTGACACCACAAATATATTCAGTGTCAAAGGAACCGAACTCGATTTCATCGGAAAAATTCGAAAATATTTATACTTTTCGGTAGTTTGGAAATGTGCATTGTTTTATGGTATTTGTATAAACATGACTAAGATTATATCCTTTTTTAAGGTGGATAAAGACGATGGACTGCCAAGCACCGTATGTTGGATGTGTACACAACAATTGGAATCATTTCATCGATTTTATGAAAAGGTACTTTTGGACTCAGTTCCAATTATTATTCGCTAATTGGCACCATTTTCATTCATTTTATTTCATACTCAGATTAACGATATCCAAAAGACACACTTAACTCAGTTTGAATATGAAAACATTGTACTGCGGCCAAAGTATGAAACCGATCCAATCATATCGAATCGCATCGTTGGAGATAATAAAAACAGCACAATTGTTGATGACGATGGTAATACGATTGAAGTGCTCGTAATATCCGAAGAAGATGCTGAACATGAACAAAAACTTGTGGACACTGAATTTGAAGAGTTTGAATTGCTGGAAGTGGACAATGTTGATGCAAATAACGAAATTGATGAGAACAAAATGAAAAAGGATGAAAGCATCGAATTGATGGAAACAAATGAACTTGCAACCGAAGACACCAAAGATGCAATGTCACCGCAGACACGAGCACGACGCAAAACAAAACGCAAATTCGTTTGTAAGACAGAAAGTACAAGGAAAAGTGTTCGCCAAGCGGCCGCTAAAATAAAGCAAGAACATTCGCAAAAATTCGTCGAAAATAATAAGAAACAACTACAGAAATCGAAATCAAAAAATTTAGAAGATAACTGTGTAGCTGAGGAACATGATTTGGCAGAAGGTGAAAGTGACGATGAATTTCCCTCCAGAGACTCGGACAATGAGGACTGGCCATCGCCAGAGACTCTTTCTGAATTTCCAAAAGAAATAATTAAGGATGGTCTGCTACAGGTTAAAGGCAAAGAACTATTTTCACTGATTTGCAGGTATGTATTTATTTAAAAAAAAATCACTCAACCGTAAAAAGGGTGAAGGAATGCTATACATGTATAGTTGCAATAACTGCAGTTATTTTTACAACCGTAAAATCAATTAAAAGTATTATGTACTAATTGTGTGCTTTCTAACATCAGATTTTATAATTTGGAATGTAAACTATGTGAGGAAAAGCGAAGGTTCAAGTAAGTAGACTTCCATTCGAATTTATTTCTTCAAGTATTTGCTTTTTTTCTAATTGTTTTTTGCATGAGAATTTTGTGTAAATATTAATTGTGTACCAGGGTGATTGATAAGTAGTGTGCCTAGTGAAAACAGTGGGCATCAATATTAAATCTCTATAGTTGTTAAATAAATACCGTCACCAAAACCTTGCATGTCCGTGCTTCGAATCAGAAGTAACAGCCCTCGAAAAACACCAACCTCGAAATATACTTTAATTTTTCACTTTATAAATTTACTTGAAAGATAAGCAGTTATAGTGCACGACCTTTCTAATGTGCTAATCTAAAGCGATTAGCTTCCAAATGCATATAACATTGCCTTTGTTTGCATAACCAGTTTTGGGTATAGAACATTTTTCATAAGCAGTTTTTTTATCCATTAAATATATAATTTAGAATAGATTGCATTTTTGGCTTGATTTCGTTTGATAAATCACAGTCCCACGAAATTCGACGAAATTCGAGGTCAAACTAGAAATGCGATTCGGACTTGTGAACTAGAGATTTGATATTGATGCCTTCCATTTTCATTAGGCACATTACTTATCAATCACCCTGGTATTTGTACATTTACAGGCAATTAAATGACATGCTCGATCATTATACAGAAACGCATAAAGAACCCGGCTACGTGGAATGTTGCCAAGTAAAATTGTTTCGATACCAAGCGATTATAATGCATATGTGCAGACATCTACAGCCGGATGCGTTCAAGTAAGTTTTACGATCAAAAAGTGAACAATTTTAACATTTCAATCCGAACAAAAACATTTTGACACAGATGCGATGAATGTGGTTATATTGTTACACGACCGCGTTTCCTTCAGAGTCACAAACAAACTCATTTACCCGACGACCAAAAACCATACGCTTGTGCTGAATGCTCGAGGAGATTCTGTTGGAAGAGTGCACTTCGCATTCATTTAATTAGTCATAAGCCGGCCGAAGAACGCCATCAATATATTTGCCATGTGTGTGGTCGAACGTAAGTTTACTTTTATATATTTTTTCATGCAATTTTTTTTTTCTTCGGTTAATTATTTCATTTTTATTTTGATTAGGTATGATACACCGGGTGGCCTCTCCACGCATAAAAAACTAGCACACAGTGGCATCAAAAAATCACAAACGAGCGTTTGTCATATATGTGCAAAGAATTTTTCATCGCGTACAGGTAATAAACTAACGACTAAATTCAACAATAAAACCAATTACTTTCATAGACGTCCATTTTTACAGGTTTGCATGAACATATGATGACAATTCATCAGCCAAGAGAGAAAGGTATTTTTTTGTTTGTTTCGATTCTTTGAAAGAAAAAAAAAAGATCAAGTAAAACAATTATACACGGGAGAACATCTATATGTACGAATTTGTAATTAAAATATCTGCCTGTTGCATGTAGAGATGTTCCGATGTATATACATATTTGCTTGAATTTTAAAAACTATAAAAAATTTATTCGAAAAAAAAAACTTGTAGGTCAAATGCAGTGCACCAAATGTGGAAAATGGCTAATGAATTTTCGATGCCTTAAAACGCATATGGTTCTGCACAGTGATGTTCAATTTCGTTGTGATAAATGTGATTATGTAACAAAGAAAAAGGCTCTTTTGAATCGTCACCTGGTGACACGGCATTCAAATAAGCGTCCGTTTGTTTGCGATTATTGTGGTCGTGATTTTAAAATGAAACGTGCATTAACCGTACATGTTGCCCAGCATGCGTCCACCACAAAATATCAATGTCCATTCTGTGATCGTTCGTTCAATAGTTCGACAAACTTTTATACACATCGCAAAAATTCACATCCCAAAGAATTGGCGGATATGAAGCGGCAAGAGGAGGCCGAACGGCGTCGACGACGAATTGAAGCCGGCGTTGAAGAGGGTGAATTGAATGTTGAGCCTGAACATCAACCAGATGATGCAGATATTGTACAACCGATTGAAGTTCCAGATGAGGATGATGATAACGAGACTACATTTCATGTCACCGAAATTCGTAATACACATTTAATACTTACAACCGATACAGGCGATGAATATACCGTGCTCGAAGTTAAATCACATGATAATAATGATCGAACATGATGTTATTTTTGTATGAAAACGCAACGATTTAACAGAAATGTATCTCATTTTATTCGCTTTTTATTTCATTTTTTAGATAAACGAATAAAATTTAAACGATTTTATTACTCTCAGTATGCTCTTTTAGTTTTGCCTGGTATTCTTCTTCATTGGACAATAGTTCAAGTTGTTGTTGACATTTTTCAAGTTTTGGTAGTACAACTGCAATATAACCGTCACCATCCTGACCAATGAGTTTTGGATTCGATAATAAATCTTCATTCACTTCAACCAATTTACCTATCGTAGAGAATCGAAAAAGAAATAAATCAACAATTAATGAAAAAAAAAATTAAGCAATTTTCGCAATTTACCCTGAGTAGTGCTGGCCACACGGTATGTGGTATCATCTTCGCATGTTACAATCGCCAAACAAGTGGTTGCTTGAAGTTGCATTGCACCACGTTTACCTTTGCCCGATACTTGATTTTTGCTTCGATCGACACCGCCAACATCAAATGTTATTGATTTGATGCCTTTTTTAACGGCGATATGCGTATCGGCCAAACCCACCAAACAAATGCCATTCGAATGATTCAAGAGTGTGTGAGCCTCGGCAATGTCATTATTGCGAAAATAATAGTATTTTTTATAGTATCGTTCCACAACTGATGGATAGTTATCATAATCGAAATCGTGAGATTCGGTGATTGGAGGCACCAATTCACCACAAATCACCTCTTCTTCGGGCTTGAAATAATATTGATCCAAATCAATTTCTGTCATTTTTTATATATATATATGTATATAAATTATTCACACTAAATTCACTAGACTTGTATTTTTTTATGTTCGTTGTTTCTATCGTATGTTTTTAATTTGATGTATATTTTTTGTTTTCTTCTCGATATTGTTTCAACAATGAATCGTAGTCGGTCTTATCGTTTTTCATACGTTCTCTTCTCAATGCTTGTTGCTCTTTGGCGTTCTGTGCATTACTGTCACGTTTTGCCACTCGTTCTTTTTTCATGCAGGCTAACATTCGATCATATGGTCCATTGCATTTGCCGAAAAATTTCAAAAATGAATGCTAAAATGAAACAATAATTCCATTTGAAAATTATATAAACATATCAATATACGTTTGAACGTGACTCACTTCTTTGCGACAGGCAAATAATTCCTGAACTATTTTATTACATTCGTCAGTGTGCAAATGCGGCGATAAATCCGGATGCATAACGAACGTTCAAATTCAATTCGATCCAAACACAAAGCTCATTTAATTTTAAGTTTATTTTGTTACTTTCTTTGAACTAACCAAAAATATATTCCAAGCAAAAAAGTCAAGCGGTTGATTGATTGTCCATCACGTGTGAACAGGCAGCGACCTCTACCAATGACAAGTGACAACTTGAGAGAAAAATGAAATCAACTCATCATTTATGATGTTCATTCGATTTATTATTGTTTCGTTTTCTTTATTCAATATAGATTCAATTTGTTTTTTTTTTTTATTTATGCTGTTTTAAATTTATCCTAACTTAATCATTAGATGATGGATTTGAGGCATTTGCCGGAAATGGAAATGTCATTATTATTGTTGTTGTTGATCGTCGTCTTCTTCTTCTTCGACTTGAATTGGTGTTGGTTTGTATTTGTAGCGAATTTTATCGTTGTATCCTTCGCGATTTCGCGCAATTTCAATTGCCCAAAATTGAATACGTACAACTAAAATGGAATTGTGTGGCCCAAAATCGAGACCAGCATCAGCTCGCATCAATGTGCCATAACTGTAGTCATCCAATTTATTGAATTTTTCAATAAAACTTCGCCACTTATGCTTTGCCGAGGGATTTTTCAATTCGGTTTCGGTGATTTTGGCCACATTGAAATTCGGAAATTCTTCACGAAATGTTTGATAGATTTGATCATCGAATGGCGTCAATTTCAATAGTTTTGGATCAACACTACATAGCAGCTGAAAATACAAAATAACAACAAATCATTATAAATGTTTTCTTCGTTTGCCCGAATTACAATGTTCGGATCATTTTGACGCGTTTTTTTTGTTTGTATTTTAAACTATTTTTGTTGCCACTCACATTGAAATGAATTTCGGCATGTTCGAATGCCCGCATTGCCCACATTGCTTCAACAGATTCATCGTTTCCAAACTCTTCAGCTGGTCGGCTGAGTACGTCCTAAAAATACAGACACACAAAAATTCATATGTTATTCGCGTTAATATTCATTCCATTTGATTTTTTACGGTAAACAATCGTTGATAATTTCTGAATTTGAATGGAAAATTCAATTTTAATCGATATTTCTTACCATTTTTCCAATTTATTTTCACTTTGTTTTCAAATCCACGTGCGGCAAATCTATTATTATTGCGTATATGTACAGCCACATTTCTGTCAAACTAAGCATACAAACAAAGAGCAAATTTTCTGACATGACATTTCGGGCTTAATCACACTGTTAACTATGCATTTATTCTTCTTGTATGAATGCCATGAAAATGGTATACTATATTTTTAGTCTTTTTATGGAAAATTTTCAGCGAAATATTTTTTTTTATTTTCGAATTTTGTTGAGAATTCAATGAGAAAAAATTTAAAATGTGCTTGATGAAAAACGGACGAAGAAAAAAAAGTTTGCACCATCGAGACTTGATACCAATGGCATGTTATTGTTTAAAACTGAACAGTGTATATCGAACAATATGTCCATCGAGTTTGTAAGAGAAAATGGTAAAAATTTAATAATTATCATCGAAATTTCAAGTTTTTTCTTGCACAGAATGGTTCTAATAGTCATGAACAATAATTTTATGCAAAAAACTGCACAAAAATTGTGTGTTTCATTGGTGAAAATGTAAAAATTCAATAAAATGCATTGAACTATCATAGCATCGACAATTAGCGTACATATATTCGACTGGAAGCGTAGCACCTTCTGTAATCCGGCTATTCGGAGGTCTGGTTTGTGGACTGGTTTGAGATTGGGGGTTCTGTATATCAGATGGTTCATGTTGACACGGCGTCCGCATTAAGTTTACCATCAATATGCGCACAATGGAGGAGTCCGATGTGTGCAGGTTGGCTAAGGAAAGACGAACCGGGCCAGGCGGGAAACCGAGCAGCCAAAAGTCTTCGTGGTAAACAGTAATGGGATAGCGCTGTGGAGTGAAACGCTGATGTCAGCCTGATCAATACAGTCAAACTACATTCCTTTTGCAAAAATTTACAATGAAATTCACCATTTTTCTTTTTACGTTTTATTCTATTTTCTTAAAAAGTTTATTCTTTTTTTATACAGAATTTCTTTGTTCGTCATAGTATTTTAACAACGTAATGTTTGCGTTCAAAGTGCAAACTTAAACATGATTTTTTAACTCAATTTGAAAGTCGAATCGGACATCACAATAATGATAAATGATTTAAAAATGTAAAAACCACATAAAAATGATGAATTATGTACAGAATGTCCGTATTATAATTGAACAATAAAAATAAAAAAAAACTTGCTACTATGAGTATCGATTATGTGTTTTTCCAAGACAAAGCAAGTTCATACCACAACCAAAACAACGTTTGCGGTTGTTAAGCATTTGACTGCGTGTACATCGATAAATTATTATCGATCAAAATAAATGCCAAATAAATAAAATTATAAATGTAATATGAAAAACAATTCGAAGAAATAGCATTATTTTTAGCAGTCAAAAATGTTTTCGGGTAAAGAAAAAAAAAAGATATGAAAAAGATTATACGATGTATTGTATATTGACACGTAACACATATGTGTAGTAAAGGCACAAACCAAACCAAATGAAACAACACATTCATATTTAGCGTTCTTATAATCGACTGGAAGCGTAGCGCCTTCTGTAATCCGGCTATTCGGAGGTCTGGTTTGTGGAATGATTTGAGATTGGGGGTTCTGTATATCAGATGGTTCATGTTGACACGGCGTCCGCATTAAGTTTACCATCAATATGCGCACAATGGAGGAGTCCGATGTGTGCAGGTTGGCTAAGGAAAGACGAACCGGGCCAGGCGGGAAACCGAGCAGCCAAAAGTCTTCGTGGTAAACAGTAATGGGACAGCGCTGTGGAGTGAAACGCTGATGTCAGCCCATTCAATAAAATCAAACTACATTCCTTTTGCAAAAATTTACAACAAGTTTTTGCTATATTACATTCTTTTTTACTTATTTAAAGTATAATAAATGACGTGAATTACTATTATAATTAAGTTGGCAAGTTTTTTTAATTCTAATTGATTCAAACATAATTTTTGCGCCGTCACTAGACTTAATAAACTATTCTCAATTAACACTATTTAAAACAATCTTAACAATTTCAATCGTGTAGTAAAATTAATAAAATGTCATATATTTTTTGTGCTTTGAAGAGAAACAACTGAACTAGTATTTGTTGTCCAAAACGATTCCTTTTTATTATCACAAATTAGTAAAAAGTTACAATTCCAACGTTTAAATTTTAAATGTTTTTAATTAAAATGGTTGTTTCCAACCGCCGAACGCCACCTCAATTTCGGCTGCGATACACAAACATAATCGATCTTGATATGGTGCGGCAACAATTTGAAAACCAACAGGCAAACCGTTTCGATCTTGACCCAATGGTACGTGCGTCGATGGGAAACCGAATAAATTGAAAATCATCGTATAAGCAACGCCGCTTAATTTTAAGTGTGAATCGTTGTGTCGAACAGCTGTTGTTGGATACGTTGGATAAAATAGTACACCATTATCGCCCAGCATTTTCTATGAATTAGTACAAAGATATTTTAAACATGAATTTGATAAAAAATAAATAAATTGAAAATTGTAAATCCTACCAAAAATTCCTGACGATAACTTTCAAACATTGTTACGTATTTGGATATTTTCCGTTTTGGGATTAAACCATTTGTTTCGTACAAGAAAGCAAAGAATAAACCGGCAAAGCTGTACTTCGATAAACCGAAAATGCTCTTAAATATTTCCTTATATACGCTGTGGATTTTTTTCGGATTTTCCGTGTCGCGAAGAATCAATGGGATATCTTGGATTGCAAAGAATTGTGCCAAACCACATTCGATTAATTCTTGTAATGACCCCATCGGCGCTTCTGACACCTCCAAACCATTCATTCGAAAATGTTCGGCTGCATTTCGTATAGCAATTTTGATTTCTTCTTGAACTGGTATATCGACCAATGAAAATCCAGCCGATTCCTTGTAGAAGATCTGATAATGCAAAAAAATAAATAATATGATACTAATTTTAAAAAAATACCGAAAATAAGTGATTAATACCTTTATATCTTTAGTATAAAGTGGTTCGTTAAGACGAAGTTTGTCGGCTTTTTTTCCGGCCATAATATGAAGAAGCGTTGGCAAATCTTTTGCATAACGGCACATTGGACCAACGACTAAGTAGTTGGAAAACCGTTCGTCGGGCGAGAAAGGAAAGTGATTGACGACCGACAGCAAACCTCCAGTTGGTTTATGTCCAAAAATACCATTGAAAAGTGCTGGAACCCTTATATTAGAAAAATGTATGAATAGATTTCGTAAAAAAAAATTTAATAGAAATGTTGTTCCAATGAATACCTTATAGACCCAGCGATATCGCTGCCAATACCGAATAATGATGCACCACAACCAATAAGCGCTCCCTAAAATTCACATCAAGATGTGCGTTTAAGTAAAAAAGTGTATTTAAAAAAAAAGAATCTACGTGGATTCAATAAATGTTTACCTCTCCGCCAGATGAACCCCCCGAACTATGTCGTGTATCGTATGGATTTAGTGAACGGCCCGTGACCAAATTTGATGATTCCCAGCTTGTGCAAAATTCCGGTGTATTTGAAACCAGCAATGGAATTGCGCCAGCAGATTTGAGTAACGCCACCGTTTCACCGTCTTCAGATGCTTTGATTCCTTTTCTATGCAACGAACCGACTGAATATGACATACCTATAAAAAAATATAAACGAACCCATCAAGTGGATGATGTAAATATATTTTGCATTAAGAATTTATTTTTTGGCTTAATTTATTTTGAATTAAAGAAAAGAGTCATGGTCATCAATATAATAATGATTATTTGTATTTGTAACACAAAAAATGTGTGTATTGACTTGCACCTAAGACTTTGTGTCATTTCCTATAAATACACGATATTCATCTCTTAGCGCACAATACACAAATTTCGATTTCGTTGACCTAATGTTTGGCCAAAATATAACAGATGATGACAAAAATGCGACTTGCTATATGCCAAAAGCGTGAATTAAAAACTTTGATCTGGAACCAATTATCGACTCGTCGTGCTTTCAACGGTATTGCGCCAAAATTCTGTGTATTTTGATAGGCATTTTCAATAATATGAACAGCTGTCATTGTCCGTTTGAATAAATTGCTTGTTGGTTCACGGTCAATCGTATAGATAGACATGACCGATTAAAATGTTCAAAGAATCTTTAAATTTGCATTATGGAAATCATAATACAATGAAATAAGTTGAAGGAATTTTAAATTGACTTGTTTTCATCTCAAATTCTCAATTAATTCGATTTTTGTTTCGAAAATGTGGCCTCTTCTTTAGATCGATTTTTTTTTGTTCAGGTGAAAATATCAAAATACTTTTCGGATGTAGTGATTTAAACGCATTTTACGCTTTGGAGAAGCGATGACGTTCACCATTTTACTTCAAGGTCACAAAGATGATTATACTTAAATACACGCGAAATGCACATAAAGAGACTCGTTTTATCTTTCGTTGAGTCTGCTGTACGATATATATTTCATTCGATGAAATTATCGAACTATAATGAACACCTGTATATCTAATAAAATTTACATCGATTATCGTATTTTACACCACTGAAATCGATTTTAATGTGCTATGGCAACAGTAGCAGCAGAACATTTATGATGACATTACGCCAAATTTATAAATCGAATCTATTTGGGAATTAATGGTTTAAAAACTATTTATTTTAAAAGCGCAATAAATCCAGATCTCAAATGCCACTGTGTAATATTTCATTAACAAAAAAAAAACGAAGAAAAAAGCGGCATCGCGTTCAAGACATGGTCGCAAAAAGGTCAATAAAGTAAAGAATTTTAACACATCGAACCATGGAATCTGTTTTAAGATACTTCAATGTGATCGCGCGTGTATCGTTTTCACTTCTTTTGTTTTGTAAAGTGAAATCAAGCAATCAACCAAAAAAAAAAAAAGCACAAAACTCACATATACACCGCTCAGTTTATGATTATTGCGAATATACATAAATACTGAATGCACGTCCATTATCGTACATGCGAATTTTGCGCATAGTTTATTTTCTATGGGCTCAAATATTCCAAACCATTGATATCAATAAAATCTCCAGTTTCCAGAGAAGGGTAGGAAATCAACACCAATCGTACCTTCGTTACATTTGTTTTTTTTTATCAGAAATTTCCGATCTAGAATTTCATTTTGTACAAATTTATGGTTTTATTTGGTGAAAAAAATATTGATAATAAACAATAGTAAAATAATGAATCACAAAATTAAGCAAAAAAAAAAATAGAAATCGATGTAAATCTCTCATCAAAAAACGATATAATTTATCATGATAAATAATAAAATAGAAATAAGAACAGGTTACAAGTGCTTCACATGATTTCTCTTGTCTCATGGCGGCAATTTTATGATTGATATCGTTAATTCAACTCGCTTTGACTGAAGCTGAATCATCCGAATTGGAAATTTATTAACGTGAGTTGATCATGTTGCATTACTGGAGTGCAAAAAAGTATGGTGAATGTCCAAAGTGTCGCCTTCATTTTATCGGATTTTCAATGTTATGTTTTATTTGCATCTGCATGTGCATCTTCATTGGTGGTGGTGGCACACGTTGTTTCCAACACATTGTTTTCAAAAGATGAAATGGGAAACTTGCTTCAATTTTGTATTCACATATAGTGTTATGATGCAATTTTGGTTAAATTTATTGTTTTGGCGATCGTTTCACGTACATAAATGATTTTCATCTAATCAAGATTGTCAAATTTTAAATACGTGAACTTTCGCGCAAACTATGGATATAAGCATCACATTTCTTCTTTTTTTCTTTCAAATAAACAAATTTCTATATTTGAAAAATAATAGACCATTTTTATTTTGATTCAAATGCTGTGGTTTGTGCAAAGTAATGACAACGACACCAAAAATTAATGTGTACTATAATCATCATTTACAACGTACAAGTATTGTCGAGAAAAGCAACAAATGCAGCAAAGTCGTTTTTTAGAAATCACAACACACACAAGCTAGAATTAGAAACGAAGACATGTATGACCATTAGTTTTGATTGCTGCACAGAATATTCAGAAGAAGAGAATGCGGTCAGTAAGAAACGTTTTAATTAACCGTTTTAAATTACGTACTTAAAACTCGCAGAATTCATGGCATGGATGGAAAAAATTAAGTAAAAAAGATTTTTATGGAGAAAACGAGATACACGATAAACAACATAGGCTCTTGAGAGATACTATATTTGGCATAGAACCGGATTTGAAATGTTACAAACATGCTCGCATAGAACATGATAAGAACATCATTAGCTAGTTTAAACATACACACACATAATAATAATAAATAATCATTCCCTCGGCACCAAAGCAAACTAAACCAGATTGCTAGTGTTCGACCATACCATTTATGTTTATTTATCAATGTGTGACCTTGCCATCATTGTTTTTAGAATCATGTGCCAACTAACCAAAACATTGATGGTTTAGTCTTGTGTGTAGATTTGATGCATGATGAGACATGTAATCAAATGCCAAATCGGTTGAATTTAATTATTTTTAACATTTGCACTTTATATCTTTCGCTTTCATTATGGATTCAATTCTTCGTTTTTTTGTTTTGTTTTGTTTCAAATCAAATTACTTGGGTGGGTAATTTGTGCAAGTCATGAACAAATTGAAATTAAAATTTCATTATTAATCAGCATGTTAACCGCGAATCCAAAAAAAAAAAAAATAGATTATCGTTATGTGTAAATGTGTTTTGTTTTTCCCGTAAAAAGAATTTCGACAATTTTCATTGTTTTGTCGATGGTCATTTTCCAAATGGGTAATTGCTCTTCAATGTTCACTTGCCCAATAGATAATTTCCAAAATGCGATCAAATCGCGTATGAATACCGCCGTTCAGTTCAATGCAATCAATTGTAATGAGTTTTTGTTGTTTTTACTTGTAAATCGATCAATACATGTATATTACGCAAACAAGGGTATTGAAAAAGGTCAACGAAAAACCAATGAAAACCTGTAAACAAATTATGATTTATGATGTACTTACCTTTGAGAGAACAACTCTCTTTTACAGTGAATGGAACACCAAGAATTGGATAATTTGTGATCAATAAAAATTCGGAAGTTGTTTCAACGAGTCGATCGGCACGTTTGGCATCTTCAATTGCTGCCTCAAAACGATCTTCTACCAATGCATTTATCATTGGATTCACCTCTTTGATACGCTCGATATACGCCAACACCACTTGTTCGGAAGTCACCTAAACCATTTAAAAAAAAAAAAGAAGAGCAATAAACACAAAACAAAAGATTGATTTTGAGTGATAAAAAAAGATTCGAAAATTAATTTATTAATTTAATAAAGTAAAGAGAATACGACATCACATTTTGTGAGCACTGATAGCATGATAAATACATTAAAAATATAAATACATCAAGATTTGTACCTCTTTTTTACGAATTTTTTGCGCCAAATCCACGACCGGAATATTTAACAGTTCATTTTTATTTGGTGGAATTTTTAATTTTTTATATGGATTGAAGAGATAGAAAAACGGCGTCAATAAGAATCCCATGCATTTCAGAAAGAATGCGGCGATTCTAAGTAGCAATTCCATTTTGTTGATATAATTAATAACAAATATTTAATTCGACAAAGTAATGTTGATTTTTCTTATTATTTCAAATTTGAAATAAAAAATATTGTTTGCATCTATTGAAGGCTTGTTTTTTCCTCTTTTGCGTAACAGTTCGTATTATTTCCTTGGTATTCAAATGAATTTACCGAAAACGAAAACCGTATATGTTCACGGTAAATCACACATAAAACTTAATTGATTGAAGACTCTTAATAAATGTAAATAAGTAAATAAAATATGCATTTTATTTTGAATAGAACAGTCGAAAGTTCGCAAGACCTAATGATCTATGCACGCGTTCCAATACGATTCGATGTCGGTTGAGTCAATTAGAATAACGAGAACCATGAATGAAAAAGTTCGTTTTGTCTATGATTTTATGACAAACAGGCAAAAACAACGTTCTCTTTTTAATTCAAGAATTTATATCACTTTGCACAAGCAATAAATAACATATTTATACACACATATCCGTGCGATACGACAAAAAACACACGATATGTGTCCGTCCACTTCAACAGCCTTGTTACAACTGAATATTATCACTGCGACAGATTCAACCTTTGCTTCTCACTCAGTTTGTAAACTGCTATTACTACTACATTGGGGCTACATATTCATACTGCCTATTCGATGGTTGTTGCTATTTTTGTTTCTCTCTCACTTATTTTTAATTCGTCTCTTTCCATTCGTTTGCTTTTCTGCTATTTTCTAGTCGATTTTTTTTATTTATTTCTAAATATATTATTAGGTTTATTTTAAAGTTACATCGTTGATTGAGCGTATTGAATGGAACATGGTGCAGTATCCAGCGGAGACAAACAAAAGAAAACACTGTACTTTACTCACCTGAGTCAAATTTAATCAAAATAACAACGGCTTTAAATACAATTGCAATTTCAAAATTTCAAAGTCCATAATCAATTCTCTTTAATACACATACATCAATTGGTCTACTTATATTATCAGATCATCAGAGCTATTGTATGTGATACGCAATCGTTCGTTAATTCACAGCGTCTATGATTTCATATGCAATTGTGTGCTTCATTCAAGCTCATTTCTCCGTTATATAAAATTTAAGTAGCATTTCATTGATTATCGGCGGGTTTTTTTTATTTTGGATTATCGGCCAGCACTTTATTTGGTCGCCAACTTTCGATAAGATTCAACTTAAATATAGAATGGATTTTATTATTTTTAAATTCTGGCAACCATTACGGACAAAATATGCGTTTTCCGGCAAAATACAAATACAGTTTGTACTTGTTTACATAATGCAATAGTAAACATTCAATTTACAAAACAAACCGCACACATTGCATTTCTAAGTCATTTGTCTAATTCAAATCGAGTGCTTGAATAAATAATTGTTTACAAAAAAAAAAATGCAGCAAGAATTTTATTTTTAATTAACGGAATACTACTGAAGATTCATGTCCCAAGTATAAAATATACATATATCATTTATCTCATTTTTATCGTGAAATCGTTTTGTTTTTGCATTCAATTTTGTCTATGGTTATATCGAATCAAGGTGTACATTATGGAACATTAAACAGTAAACAATGTCAAAATATCATCACATTCACCTTTGTTTTAGCAGCATGAAACAACACATCTTGCACGCTAATGACTTTTGAAATAAAATAAACAGAACAAACGGCACATTCAATGTATATTTCAAACATCCACATGAGAATTGTTTGGATATATGACTTGCTGAAAACAGTAACTAAACGGATAATAATAAGAATCATGGTTTTGGTCGTTATCATGGTTTTTCGGCATTTTTTAGTAACAAATCGAATCAATAAATGCATACTTTGTTACGTTGTTTTTTTTGTATTTGCCAAAAATGACTTCTTATCAGTCATTGAAAAGTAGGTTTTTGGATCATTGGCCTGTAATAATCTTTTTTTTTCAAATATGAAAAAACACTCGAAAATCCTCCGACGAGGACTTTAATGCTAAATCGGTATGCCAAACATCCGAATTGATTACGAAAGCGTAAAAACGGACGAGTAATCCATATTTCATAATATTCAATTATTAAATTGAATTCATCATGAAAATGAGTATGGCGACCTCTTTATCTTGGACCATACAAACAGCGCACACTGACAGATTCAATGTATGTATGCGAATTTGAAATCACATGTGAGGTTATGATATTTTTAATAGCAATACCGTAATTAAACACATTTGGAATCATTGATTATTTTTGTGCTGCGTAAGTTTTACAATCAATTCATTATTTTTCGAATGGAAAACAAATTGTAGTTTTGTAATCGTCAACTGGAGATGAACGCGAAAAAAAAAGAAAAATCAACATGTTTGCTTGAAAAGCGGTTCAAAAGTTTATCAATTGGTTAGAATGGTCTTCGTGTTGTGTTTTGTTCGAACCGATAACATGTTCAGATGTTTTCATATGTTCAATAATAACCATACACTCTCACAAATATGCATATATAAAAAGTCTTAGTTGATTGTTAGCCGATTGATTACATGGAAATTGTTTCAGTGTCGAAAGCGATAAGAAATAAATGAGCTGTCAAATTGTGATTTTGTAATTGCAGATATCCCCAAGTGCCAATACGTAATTAGCAGTCACCGTGGACAGTAATTCGTTGCTAGAAAAAAAACACCAAGTACATCATTTTTGTGAGCGGAAACATTGAATGAGAGCACAAAAACAATGTCAGGAAGCGACATCAGCGAATATGAAGGCTATCGTTCGCCATTAAGTACACGATATGCCACAAAGGAAATGCAGTTTTTGTTTAGCGACCAGTTCAAATTCTCCACTTGGCGCAAACTATGGATCTACCTTGCACAAGCCGAAAAGGTACGTGAAAAAAAACAAACAATGAACTACTAATGAATTAAGGGATTTGTCGTAATATCCATTTTCCATTTAATTGAATTATTATTTGAGAATTTGTTTCTATGTACGTTTTTTTTTTTTCAATGGAACCGTTTTTTAATTTATGTTTTGAAAAGCAAATGGCATGATATAATTTTTGAATATTCTACTTTGCGAATAATACAAAGTATGTAAATTATTATTATTCCGGAAAATGGAAAGTCTTACCAACTAAATCCGGTGTAGACTATATCGTGTATTTGCATATTCATTTTCAATTTTTTTTGTTCTGTTTTGAAAAGCACGGTTTGACCATTCACTAAAACACAATGAATGCAAATCACGGCAAATGACCAATTCATTCATTCATAGCCAAATAAATGACTTTAGATGTTACCTTGGTCTTTTGGAGTTTAGAAAAGAAAAATAACGGTTATTATTTATGACCAGATTTAGAAGGACACATTGGACGAGGATTCATATATGCCATATTATGCAATCTGTTTGAAATTCAGGATAATCATTTTAAAATTGTTTAATTGCATCGTATGTGTGTGTCTGTTTTTTTTAAATATTTTCAGGAGCTCGGACTTGAAATAACCGACGCCCAAATCAAGCAAATGCAAGACAACTGGAATAAGATTGATTTCAAAGCAGCTGCTGCTGAAGAACGTAAAACACGTCATGACGTGATGGCTCATGTTCATGTTTTTGCCGAACAATGTCCGCTGGCCGCTCCAATTATTCATCTTGGTGCGACGTCATGTTATGTTGGCGACAATACCGATTTAATCATCCTACGTGATGGTCTTGATCTGATTTTACCTCAAATAGCCCGTGTTATTCATTGTCTCTCGAAGTTTGCCGATGATTTTAAGTAAGAATGAATCGATATTCCGTTTTTTTCTTCAGAATTAATGACATTTTTTACCTTTAAATAATAGATCACAACCGACGTTAGGTTTTACTCATTTGCAACCGGCTCAATTGACAACAGTTGGTAAACGTGCAACGCTCTGGATTCAAGATCTATTGTTGGACGAGTTGGCGCTTCGTCGGTGCCGTGATGATTTACGTTTCCGTGGTGTCAAGGGAACAACTGGCACACAAGCATCATTCATGCAATTGTTCAATGGTGACGAGGAAAAAGTGAAAAATTTGGACAAACGCGTTGCTGAATTGGCTGGCTTCAAAAAATGCTATCCAGTTACGGGTCAAACGTATTCACGTAAAATTGATGTACAAATCATATCGGCATTGTCAAGTTTTGGAACAACCGTTCATAAATTATGCACCGACATTCGTTTGCTGGCCAATCGCAAGGAACTTGAAGAACCATTCGAATCAACTCAAATCGGCTCATCGGCAATGGCCTATAAACGTAATCCAATGCGATCGGAACGATGCTGTTCAATTGCACGTCATTTGATTGCGCTGAGCATTAATGCTGCTAATACACATTCAACACAATGGTTGGAACGTACATTGGATGATTCGGCCAATCGGCGATTGACACTTTCCGAAGCATTTTTGTCGGCCGATGCTGTTCTTTTGACTTTATTGAATATTTCTCAAGGACTGGTTGTCTATAAAAAAGTTATCGAACGTAATATTTTGCAAGAGTTGCCATTTATGGCAACGGAAAATATCATCATGGCAATGGTGAAAAAAGGTGGCGATCGACAAGTCTGCCATGAAAAGATTCGTGTTCTGTCACATGAAGCCGGCGCTCAGGTGAAACAATTCGGAAAAGACAATGATTTAATTGAACGCGTCAAAGCAGATTCATACTTTGCACCAATTTTAAGCGATCTTGGTTCAATTCTCGATCCAAGCACATTCATCGGTCGTTGTCCACAACAAGTAGTCGAATTCATTGAAGATGAAGTCAAACCAGTGCTTGACAACTATAAGGAAAGCATTAAAGATTTGAAACCGGCTTCATTGTCGATTTAAATTTCACGCGCACAATACTTTACCCGCGGGGCCTTACACTGAGGCTAGTGCTGTAAAAAAAACATAGTTTCTAAAAAAAAGAAATGAAAATAAAATTTTGTGTTTTGTTTACACTTTGATTTAATAAAGTTTCAAATATGATACATGTTGCCCATTTTTTGTTTAATTCTTTTTTAATTGAATTTTGATATATAGTTTTATATGAAACTAGACAAATGTTTTTCTTTTGTTTAAAAAAGTATTTTTTTTACAGTAACAAATTAATCTATATAGTTTTTCCCAAATGAAAAAAAAAAACGAAATTAATAACGTTTTTTTTTATAAATTTTGAACATATTCTCGAGTGTTCGCTAAATATATAATAATACGTAAAATCCGATCATGTTTCTATGCCGTCCTTCTAAAGGCTCGATTCAAAACATAACATCGATTCATGAATTATCCTTGCTAGTCGTTGGACTAGATTTCACAGAATTAGCTGGTGAAGGTCGTTCAATTGTCATTGTTGCCTGGGGTATTTTGGAATCCGCTTGCACGCCAAGCGACGTGTAGATTTCTTTCATTATAAACAAAGTTGCATCTTCCGAACTCCTAAAAGTGATATGAATACAAAAAAAAATTGTCGCGATAAGTTTGATTCTAGATATTTACGTTGTGAATGGACAAAAAATACACAACTTACCAATAGCCAACGTGGCTTGTAAGTGCAAATAGGTATTCATTGATAATTTCAAGTGGTGCTTCTTGCAATACATAGTCAATTCGTCTGCCTCCATTAATTTTTCCAAGTGCCAAATCCGTTTCGCCGGTATCAATTTCACTCGATGCACTGGATGTGTTTGCCGATGTTTCAAGTTCATCCAAATTCAGCTGCTCTTCGATGACCTAAATACCAAACGAAAATGAAAACAAAAAAATGTCAACCACAAACAATTTAATGGCTTTGCTATGCAAAACAAACCTTGTTCACTTCCTGTGTTATAGCTTTTGTGTCATTTGGACCCTTGTGTAGCGTTGTATAACTGTAGACCGTATCAATGGTTGATCTTAATGTTTGCAATATTTTTTGTTTAATATCAGCGCCAACACGAGCAACAGTTTCTCTTAATTCGAGGTGCATACGCTTTCGTCCCTTGTGATGTGGCACCAATACTGGTCTCATTGTTTGCAATTCGGAATTAATCAATGCTTCAAAGCGATACGCAACCGGGTCATATGGATGAAAGACGTTGAAAAAGTGTTCAGTCGTCGGCAATTTAAAATCTAAGCCCAATGCATCGATGCCACGAATTGTCACAAACATTCCGATGGGCGAACCAAGAGCGAAAAAGTGTTTTGGCTGAAAACTCAATTGTGGATACGTAATATATGGTTGACCGGTGCCAGCATTTCCAATGGTATAGTTTATTTGTTGCGAACAGTGTCGTTTCAATGGTGATTTAACGTGATTCGCATTGTCTAGATTCTCTGAATTTTCGATTTCAACACGTTGATGTTGTAGCAAATCAAACAGAATCACAGAACCCAAACTGTGACCGGATACTGATACACTGCCATGGAAACTTGGATTGCGTTCGCAGAATTTTGCATAACATTTGTTCATGTTTCCCGATACAGCCTCAATAATTTGCTAGAAATTTATGGAGAAAATCGTTTGTTTTTTTTTTTGGTTAAATTTCAAATTTTGATGAGAAAAAAAAACGAAAAAATCAATCCTACCTGACAGAAAACAGGACTTGTATAAAAGAGAATGTCTAATAGTGTATCGTTGGTGAAATGTCGTAGTTTTGGTATTGATTCCAATGTAATTGATTTCAATTTTTCATCAATGCCGGACTCTTCTGAATGCAATTCACTATGCCAAGAAATTGGCAACACTTCAACGCGCCCAACAATACCCTGATCACATGAACTCCGATAGTGCGACTGAATCAATTGTAATGCCATCAAACGGAATTCATCCACTGAAATACGCAGAATATTTGAGATTTAATAAAAATCAATAAAAACCAATTGTATTCCTCCTCTTGTGTAATTTGAAACTCACCAACTTCTTCGACTTTTCGGAATTTCAAATCGCATGCGCTTCCAATTCCATGTACCATAAACAATAAATGATCAATTTGTTCCGGTTCGCCGTCTTCAATTGTGAATTCATCGGTGCCACGTTTCACTGCTCGTGGTCTAACTTCGGTGTTCTGCTGTTAAGATTACCAAGATTTATAATAATTTCAAACATTGGGAATTGGATAAAAATAATTTTAAGTTTGTCACTTACGACCGCATTATTCCATCCATCAGTTGATTGTGACTGTAAAAAGTGTAAGATATCGCTTGGTCCATTAAAAATGACGGTTTCTCCCGTTGTAAGCGGTATTTTTCGTTGCCATTCGCCCGTATGTGATGCTTCCCTGTATTCTTCTTCGAGCTGCTCCGCAACATTCTCTTCGTATGGAATTAAACGGAAATCAACACCTTTGTAGAACCACGAGCACCGGCGCACTTCACTATCTTCAGTCGACCAATAAACAGCGTGTCGGGTTCGCTTCGGAATATTTACATCAAATCGACCACCGTCAGTCGTTACAATTTCTTTATCTGTGTAAAATTAAATTGAAATCAAAACAAATGGAAAAATCGAATTTTAATCATTTTTTTTGTTGCTATCTAGCTCAATCAAACACTAGAGTAATAGAGGTTTAAAAACGAAATATAATGATAAGTAGAACGCACCTTTATTTAAAAATGCCTCTTCAAGTAACATTGAATCGGGGAATGAGAATGGAGTCCATATTCTTTTCGATTCGCTGGTTGTTTTGTAGAACCAATGTTTATACACCGGCCGATAAGCAATATTTGTTGATGTGCTTGTGGTTGGTGTTGAGGTTCGTTCGTTCGGTGTGGTTGCCATTGTATTGGGTGGTTCTTGTTTATTTAGCCAATTATAAATATTAATACCGTCTGCTTGGTCCTTAAAAATACAAATAAAATTGAGTCATCAATCAATCAATCGACCAAAAATCAATTTTACACACTTACTTGATTACTCTGCAATGATTGATCGGTTGGTGTGACTAATTGTGCTGTTACATCGGTTGTCGGTGGTTCAATATACGATGTTTCGGATTGTGCCGACGATGCTGGTTCAGCGATAACCGATGCAATCGAAAGTGTTTCTGGACTGGCAGTTTCAGCGTTTGCAATGCGTTCGATGCGTTTGTTTAGCAAATTTGTGCGAATAAAGTTAAAATTTTTCTCTTGAACGTTCTCCTGTGTTTCAGACAATGGCGGCGGTTCATTAAAGAAATTCTGAATTTGAAATTCGCTTACGTTTGATGGATTTTGTGAAACCGAATCGGTTGGATTGTTGTTAAAAAATGAAGTCGGATCAAAAGTTGATGTTTCAATTGGTTTCAAAATGGCCACATCAACAGGTTGTCTCACAACACTTTCTTCATTGAAATTATTTTCTTTGTCCAATGTCAAATGTTGAATGCCAGTATTTATGTTTTCAATATTTGCGTTATTATCTCGAGGTTCTGTATTTTTCAAATCAAAATCTGTGTGTGTCTGTTGTTGAAATGGATTGAATGGTATCGGTTGAAAGAAATTTTGAATTGTAGGCTCCCCAATTGTCTCCAATGGTTCGTGTTTTATTTCTGTGTTTACAACGTTTTCGTCCTCCAACGATTGAATTGGAATGGAATTTTCAATAGGTGCCTGAACAATATTCGAATGTTGTAATTCGGTAGAATCTGATTGTTGGTCGGCGTCTCCAAAAAATGAATTCAAATGCGATGGTACAACTTGCTCAGTATTAAATACAGGATTTGGGCTCGCATCGAATAGATTCGAATGGAATGGATTCTGTGATACAGCTGCCTCTTGATTTACTTCGTTTCTATCTGAAGCAGGCGATGGTTGACTGAATGGATTAAAGGAACTCACTGGCAAAGGCTCAACGCTTGCAGGCTGAGATGCTTGTATGTTCGGCAATTGAGTGGTTGGAGTGAGTGCGCTTGCAATTTGCACTGGTGGAGTCTGAGCAGTTGGGATCGATGGACTAAAAATCTGAGTATTCGAAGGTGGTGGTGGTAATGAACTTGAGATTGGTACAACAGGTGAAGGATTTGACGGTGCAATCGATACGTTTGGGATTTGAGCCAATGGGCTTGCAACTGGTGTACTCGGAACTTGCTGCTCTTGGGTATTATCAAACACTAATGGATTGAAAATTTGGAAATTCGACGTCGGCACCGATTGTGGGGTCACAGGATTGAAAAGTAGAGGCTGATTCGCCGGTTGTGCTGGCGGAGCTACTCTTTTTGCTTGTTTATAGAGTGGTTTGCCTTGTAAGCGGTAGCTCACCGATGGGGTCGCGTTCGGTGGTAGATATGATGGTGGTATTGCACTTTGTTGGACTAATGCCGGTGATGTGGATGCTGATGGGTGTAGTGGAGTCGCCGGTTTTTGATACGGATTAAGATTGAAGGAATTTGGTGATGCAGAGGGCGGTAAATTGAATGGCGTATCAAGTAATGGTTGACTTGGTTGGTCGCTTGGTGTTGGCTCTTGCAAATTTGTACTTGAAAACTGATTCGGATTGAAAAACTGTGCTAATGGAGCGGGTGAAACTTGTTCTGGCTGTTGACTGGCGATTGGTGATGGCTGTTGTTGAATCGAACTGGTTGGTAAAGGTGGTGGTTGTGCACTAACACCAATCGATTGTTCATGAAAAGTCTCGCCTGATTCGAATATTGGTTGTGCACGATTATCCGTCGAATTAGTTGGAATTGGTTGTTGTAAATTTGCTGTCACAAATTGATTCGGATCAAAAAATTGTGCAATTGGCGCAGCTGAATTTTCAGGTGGTTGCGTTGTAGCGGAAGCTTGCTGAGTTGAGCTTGATGGCTGCAAAGGTAATGCGTTATCGTTGAATATTTGCGGCGGAGATGAAGGTACAGGCAATTGTCGCTGGGGTTGAGTAGCTGATTTTTGAAATGGATTAAGATTAAACGAAGTAATCGTTGCAGTCTGTGATGACGGCGGTGGTGGTGGCAGCTGTGAATTGGCAATCGAAGTTGTTTGCAAAGGCGGTGCACTTACAATAAAAGGCGAATCAGTCGACGAACGTGAAAATGTATCGATTGAACTTGGAACTTGTTGTTGTGAATCAGTTGCAGCGAATTGATTTGGATTGAAAAATTGCGAAGCAGATGCAACTGACTGTTGTGATGAATTGTAATCGAATGGTTGTGTCGATTCTTGATTTATGTTCGCTGTATTTGGCAATACTTTATCCAAAAGCGGTGCTCCGCTGAAAAATGACGATATTGAAAACGAACTATTTTGACTTGTAGCTGCAGGTTGTACCGGTGCAGGTGACGCACTAGGATTTGGTGGTTGAATCGGACTCGATGAAGGTTGTTGCTTCGATGCGATTGGATTCAAATGGTTGTTGACCAATCCGGGAATTGGTGCGTATAATTTTTTTCTTTCTTTTAAACGGTATAAATTACCATCTGAAGATGGTGATAAACTAGCTTCAGGCCGTTGAATCGTTGGATCAGTTGGAGAGTAGAATGTTGGCACTACCGGCGGCACAACTTCACTTTGTTGCTGATTCGCTTGATGGATCGATTGATCATAAAAGCACGGATAAGGATTTACCGAATTTATCTCTGGTCCGCCAGTCAATTGACCAGCATAATTTGTTGGTTCGGATGTTGTGTAGTTCTCCTTTCCTGGTGGATGAGGCGAAGTATGACCCTTCAAAATGCTTGAAAATGACGAAAACACAGACGATGCAACACCAGGCAAAACACCGGGCAGTTGTGATAACGAATCTTTTATGGCCGTTGCAGGCGAAAAAATATTTTCGTCACGTTGTTGGTGTTGCTGTTCGTCAGTCACTACCGGATAAAATGTGTCCAAATTCTGTAATGGATTGTACTCTTGTGGTTGATTGCTGCTGGTATCGGCATCAACTGATTGATCTAAGCTGATTTCACTAAATTTATCGCTATCTAATGCAGCTGGTGGCTCTGTCCCATAGATCACAGACTTTGTTGCATCTGAAATTGAAAACGATAGAAAATGCAGTTTAGTAAGTGTTGTGCTTGCATCGACAATATAACATGAGAATAGAGATTGATTTGCAATTAACTAAAACGGAAATTTCAATAAATTTGAAATTACAAAATACAAGGCCAGCCATACACCAATCAATCTTATCGTATTATTTACTTCGCACATATTATTCACAGCATTTATTCATAAATCAAACAAAACCCTTTGCCTGATAATTCCGTTCTATATTTGGAAATTGTATTTGCTTAAAATTGTTTACGAAGCGGGAAAGAAAAGTAAACAAATCAATTGGTGCGCGCACATGGGACTATACACTAACGTCATTATGAAAATGACTAATAATGCGATTTTAACTGCAAAATGTCAATAGAATAAAAAAAATTCTTTGAATATATTCATATTTGCTTAAATGTTATGCTTGCTTAGTTCATCGATAATAAGTGATTACAATTTATTTTGGTTGTAAATTTGTCACATTTGTAAAATGAAAGTCATTTGTTGAAATGTTTTCCAAATGGTTCACCATCAACAATACGGAAAATATTAACAAGTTTTTTTTTCGGCGGATTTAGTTTGCGATCGCTGTTTTTTTTTTACCAAGAATAAGTTTGCGTCAATTTTTCAGCGCTCCAATTCACTTTTCGCCTAAGTGAAGTAAAACAAAACAAAACAAAAAACAATGAAATCACACACCGGATATAAGATAACTGACAAAATATTATTACAAATAATTTGTATCTCTTATAAACAATTGAGCTGTGAGTTTTAGGTTGTTTTATCTTGGTTATATTGATTGTCGAAAAAAGACCCTCAATGCATGCATACTTTTGCTTAGTGCTATTTCATGAAATCAGAATTTTTATTGCATTTTCTCAACAAAATATCCAAAAGTGAAAATGTTTGGTCGTTCCTTTCGTCATTCATATCTGATGACATAAATTTCAAATCATAAAATCACTAGTAATTACCTAATATTGTGTGTACACTGTACGCTTGTGACTGTGATCGGAAAGGCGAGAGAAATAAAACCTTGTCGCTTCCATAAAGTGACTATTATTATTGACTCTGACACATGCTTAAATGGCGTTTAAAAGGAAAATTGTGTTTGTTTATTAAAAAAAAAAAAAAAAATAAAGCAAATCTTTTGTAATGCATAATTTAGTCATCGCTTATGACGATCAGCGGCAACGAAGAGAATTCAACAGAGAGATTATTCAATTGGATAATTATATTCTCACGAATTGGGATGTGTTTTCTGGGTGCTTTTTATTCTTTTCAATTACAATAACTGACCCTACCGAAGGAATTCTGTAATCATGATGAACTTGTACAACTATAATTATGTTGTTATCATGAGAACCATTTCTTTTCTTCTTTAAAAACGTCGATTATTAGTTATTTTGAGAATTTTCCTTTACGCTTGATAGATATATATGACGTTGTTTTGATAACTGTATCGAAAATATGAGCAAGAATAAAAGAAAAAAAATTATTAATTATCAATTCATGATGATTTTGACATGCGATGATGCAGTTGAAATAGTAAAAAATAAATTAAGCAAATTAAAATGAATCATTTCTGTGATCGTATTTTGCGCGTGAATAATTTTGAGATGGGATTGCATGAAAAATATTGAAAATTAAACTGTTTAGATGTAAAAAAAACGAACGGGAAATAACGCAATTTTCATTATTTCTACGAAACATTTTTGTTCTCCGATTTAATTGAATCGACTTTAACGCTGTTTTCAGAATAGAGTTGTGTTCCTAAAAATATGCACATTAATCATACGAATGCTCAAAATATTGCGTTTGTTGAACGAAGCAACGAGCGATTGTAATTCACAGGACTGACTCATTTCTCCGTTTCATGTCATTTTTCATTCCAAAATGGCTTTAGTCTTGCCCCCAGAAAAGAACCAACAAATTCAAAAGCATTCAATGTCAAAAGGTAAATTGCAATGTAATTTGATTTGAAGAAGGAAAACGAAACGAAATTTGCATAGATCAACCACCAGAAATGAGAAAAAGATGTTTACGTTCAAAATTCATCAATATACAATGGAAAAAGTAAAAGGAAAACAAAGATTGAAAAATAACAAGGTAAGCGTTGAATTCTCATTCTTGAAATGGTTTGCCATTCGAAAAAAAACAAAAAAATGGTCTGTAATATATACATGGTAAATTTTTCAATATTTGAAATTCCATTTTCGTTAGTCATTATTCACCCGTTGACCATTCAGTGAGTCTCAATAAAATCGATCGTTGTCTTTTTTTTCTCTCTCGTTTATACATTTGAGCATTTGTGTTCGGTTTTCGGTCGATTTGGTTAGGTTTTTCGTTAAATATGCTTATATTTTCTGAATCGTTTTCTTCATTTCAAATTCTCCATTCTTCATCAAATCTCTGTCTTGCTGATAGATCTATCTGTGCTCTCCATTGCATAAACATTTAAAACATTTCGGGCCAATTATGTCGTTAAACGACTCGAGCATCTTTTTTTCTCTCTCTTCTTTTCTTTGTGTGTGTGTGTGTTTTGATTTTACATGTGGCAATCGGCGAACGATGTTTATTTTAAGCATTTTGTTACGATCACTCTGAAGTGGCTTGTCATTCCAACACAGGCATCATCTTGTCAATCGAGTACCATGCTCTCCAAATGTTGAGCATCCAAACAAACTGAATAGAAACAACATCAACGAAAAAGCACTTTTAGGTGATGTAGACTCGACCTGAGAATGAGTTCACTTTTTGCAAACAAAAACAATAAATCTTCGGTTGGTAGAAGATCAGTAGAAAATGCGATGCAGAATTTGTAAATGAAAAAAAAAAAAGAATATCACAAAGAATGTGTTATTAGAACGACGGGCAAACATAAATCTGAATAAAATTCACAACTCTTTTTTTTCTTTGTTTCATTTCATTCGTTGAAGGAAGATGTTGAAGATCTACCATTGTTTGTTGAGGAAGTGGAAAAAAAACAAATCTAACCATTGCCGTAAACCCTTTAGATATGGGCAAGTGTTGAGCGCGCTTGCGTAAAACATATGGCATTTATCAGCATTGTGGATGGTCTACCATCTTAACCAGCTTAATTTTAAAATATAAATTTAAGTGGTATGTATTCACTGCTAATTGACAACCATTCACATCGAACAAGCGCAAAAATCTTGACAACTTTGTGCCATTGACATTGGCATATGCAAAAAACAAAAAAATATATGCAAGTGAGCACCTATTCATTGGATCGGTTGTGTTTAGTTAAACTTCTAGTGATGAAAAAGTGAAGAGGTGCTTGTGAAATAGCATCATTATTATCACTTGCAAAAAATATATTGTATAATTATAATCAAAGAAAAATACTTATAGTTTGCGAAAACTTGGACATTTTTGACATTTTTACGACAATATATATGTGCAAACAGCAGATGACGCATAAATTATATGTACATTAGATGATATAGCTTAGTGCACATATAAAATTTAACAAAACGATCGGCGCGCAACATACATCGCACACAAATACATGCACAATAGCACGCGCATTCTGTTCGCTTAACACTCTATCGTCAAATACAAAGTGTTTCAAAACCATTCAATAAATATGGCAGCAAAGATATTGCTATCATTTAGTCTTTTGTCGGTGTATTTTTTTATCTATGTTATCTTTCACCCTTTCCTTCTTCATTCAGAATATATATGCAAATTAATAAATTAATTTGATAGTTAGTCTGTTTATAGATTTGTTACAGAAAGGTCACGATCTGACAATTTTACAGAAGCGTTAAAGAAAACAAAGCGCACAAATCCTGCACATTCATCGAGCACTCTTCAATGAGAATCGAAAAGTTAAAAGAAAAAGACACTAACCGTCTTATTTAAATTCAATTCTGTATAATAGTTTCCGCGATTTTTTAATTTTTGTTATGTGGTTATGTTTTCAATGTGGAATTTCAAAACCTTAAAATTGAAATATCTATAGGATTCAATCAGGTTTGTGAAATGAAAAAAAAAAAGTGAAATTAGTGATTTTAGCTTTTGATATGAAAAATGAGCTTAGAATACACGACGCATAGTTAAAAACCACAAAAGAATGATTCGAGATGATTTTCATAATATTAGAAGGAACGATATACGAATAGAAAATGTAATTAAGTGACTGGCTAACGATAAGAATCAGAAGAATAAATTGAAACAACATTTTTCCGCCAAAAAAGGAGGTTTATAAGTTCTATGCCACTTCTTTTACAATTCAACCTCAACAAATTAAGCTCAAATGGACTTAAAAACAAACCAAATGGAAATGTAAAAAAAATAGTTGGAAATGTTTGTTCGGCGATCTTTTTTTAGAGTGAGAGGCACTTCCAAAACATTGATTATATTCCAAGAACTTTCATACAGGACCACAAAAAAAAAATCAAGAAAAAAAATTACCATTACATATATTTTGTTCTGAATTTCAATTGGTTTCGGTTAAAACTAACTTAATTTAAAGACGAACGGTGATAATGACATCGAAAAACTAATCAACAGAGGCCTTATAACATATAAACAAACAAATTGAATGATTGGATAAGAGAAAAAAAATATCGGTGTTGATGAAGAGGCAGGCGTATGCCCAAATCCAAACACATTTAACATGGTATTCAATGCATACATCTCTCATACATTCACAGCCAGATTTTTAGCATGGTTGTTTTTATTTCTGTCCCGTCTCTCGCTTCATTTTCGTCAAGTTGTTGTATATATTTTTCAAACTTTCCATAAACAACATAAGCGAGAGAGTGAGAGACACATTCCCGTATTTGCACACACATATGCACATATGCAAACATTCATATATTGAGAGTGTCCGACACATTTTGTATGGTTCCAGTTTTTGAATTTTTATCATATGTGCGCTTATGCTGCTATGGTCTATGTGTATATCTATATACATATATTATTGTGTGCTTTTTTTCATTTTTGTTGTTGTTGTTGCTGTTCATTATTATTTCTATACAGTGTGTGTATGTTTCAGAGTCTCGTTTTTGTTTTTGCCCGTGTGTTTCGGCGATCGGGCAAAGGCGCGCTCTCGTTCATACCGTGTGTATACGTAAGCGTGTTAATGTTTTGAAATAATATTTTTATGTGGTGCGTGATGTGTGATGACATTCTTTCAGAGCATTTCAGTTCAATAAGTTTGCCGTTCGCTTTCAGTTTCGTTTTAACTATCGACACAGTAAGGTGTATCATCGATTAGAAGAGTCACACTGTGTTTGCATCAGAGAAACTTTTCGCGCGAGGAAAAACACCAACATACAAATCGAAGTCGGTTTTTTTAAACAATCTTTTTTTTTCAATAGTAAATGCTACCGCATGATTTGGGTGTGTAAACAAAAGAATTAAATTTTGGTCGACAAATTCGATGACAAAGATTACGTTCGTATTATATTTTTTTTAAATGTTGTCCAAATCTAATGAACACGACAAGCACTGTCATTTCTCAGCAACCGCGAAAATTCAATAAACCGTTTCTGCTGATTATTTTTCATTTGATTCAACATTCTGTTTCACTTGTTCTCTCGCTTCTATATTCGATAATTAATATATTTTGTTTGATATTATGAGGTTGTTGGTGTTGTTTTGTGTTTGATTTGTGCTTTTTCCCGTACATTGTTTAATTTGGCATATGGTCGCGGACATTTATTGTTCAATTTCTGACGTCTATTGTTATTCAAGCAGGAATGTTTAATACCGGCGGGACAACAATATAATACATACCCATCGACCACAAAACAAAATCACGGTTGTTGTAGATTTTTTTTATCATTATTTTGGGCATCAGAAACGAATATTCTATTGATTCTCATCTAAATGGGATTACATACATGTTGGTATTTTTTTGAAATTTCGTTTATATTGTACTCGTTTTGTATGACTGGTTCCGCAATAAAATAGTGCACAATGATCGTGATGCACATGGGAAGTGTGTTGTTGTGTGATATTTGTTAGCAAATATTCGCTTATTTTTTCGTATTCTATTTTTTTAAATAATTTTTTTTTTCACTCACAAAGTGTTTGTTCGTGCTAAATTTTCGAGTTTGATGAAAGAAAGAGAGAAAAAATGTTAAATTTTTCGCTGATTCGATTGTGTGCTGTAGAAAAATGCATTTATTTACATGTGTTTTGGTTGCTCACGAGCCAAATAGACGAATAGTGAGAAAGATCAATCGTAAACGAACGACAAGAGCAAAGAAGAGCCATACTATTTTGTTTACGTTGCCTTTTTTTCGTATTCAAATGTGCGCGAAATATGCATTATGTATTTGTTCAATTTGTTTTACACCGCAAAATGTGACATAAAACGAATAAATAACAAATTTTTCCCGAATTTATTTTTTTGTACACAAGAAGTTATCATTTTGCTAATTTTCGTTATGAACCACTACATTTGAAACGAAACCAGTTACAATATTCAAAAAAAAAAGCTGAAAAAACGTTTATTTGGTTAATTTCTTATAAAAATTGAATTGCTTTAAATACTGTATGCAAACTGGTCATATCGAAAATCAACATCGAAACTGTTTCGACTGTTTTTTCTACATGTATTTTTTTTGTGTTGAACAAAAATATTTACGAGAATCGTTGAAAATTCAAAAAATTTGCGAAATATTGCAGTCAAAATTCGGAAGCGATCCTTTTGTTTTAAACCGTGTGTCGTGTTTTATTTGTCTCATTTTCGTTTACAAATAAAACTGCATTATCCATTTGTGTGCTTAATTTCAGGGTGAATGCCGAATTCAAAACCAATAAAAAAATGTTTGATTTGTCCATAAACTACCTGTTTTTTCAGTTTTTTTTTTGTCATTGTGAAGCAGTTCAACTAATATAAACTCATAAATGATTGAACTTGGAGCCAGTTTTCAATGATTTGTTAAAGAGTGATAGAATTTGTTTTCAATATTTTTTTTTGTGTTCGTGTACAAGCCGTGTACATTTTTCTATTTCTTTCTCATTCTCGATTTTTATCTAAATCAATGCGATCATTAAACGATCAAGGTATTTTAAAACTTTTGCATTTGGCAGTAAATAATAACAATCGCGAGTGAAACAAAAAAGTGCGATCTCTCTCTCTCTGTCAGTAGCAATTGTTTCTTTCTCAAGTAATATTCACGTTTAAACTTTGTTGCGCGATCTGTTTTTCTTGTTTTCAGATTATCTTGTGCATAATATATTTTAGCGATATTATTACAATCATTATCCGTTTGCCGGTATCGTAAAGAATTTTAATTATTGCAGCTATTTTCTTCTACTTCGGATGCGATACATATTCGTATCTCTATCTTTCACAATTTCATTTTCAGCTCCATCTCTCTCTTCCCTTTTCTCCTTTTTTGCCAATGCAATAGTCGATGTATCGCTATTTAGTATCGTGACTATTAGTTTACGTCTAGTTAGACGATCGCTCAGAACTAGACGAGATCATTCTTCGACAATTGTACTATTTTGCACTGCAAAGGCACACTAGAGATTCCGTTAAATATATTTATTACGATTTCAAATGAAAAAGCACGTGCAACGAATTCGATTTTTCTAAATAAGAAACATGTGAAAAAAGGAATCCCCGCCAAATCGAATCCGTAGCTAGTGCATTTCAAATGATTTCGTTGAGATTCAAAGTGTCCATTTGTATTGCGGTGATTTTGTGTTTATTCATTCGTTAATATTTGATTCGTTCAAAATTTACATACAGAAGTAAATATGTCAAACTAATCGAATAAAGTGCTTATAGGGACTGTTAAGTTGATTTCGAAAAGGTGACTATCCACCGATACCATTCCAAGCACACGAAAATCCAACTTGAAAACTTGAATATCTATTTCGGAATGACAATATCAGTGCTCTTCTGCAGATAAATAAGACATATCGGTGTCAAACAATATCGAAGATAAATTCATTGAAATTAACTTTAACTTTTTATCTTTCCACTTGCAAATAATTGTTCATATTAAAAAAGTACAAAAATAATTGACGCCGCGTAGAATGGCACAGAGTTTTCAAAGTATAATTCAATTGAAAATTTGTAATAAATGAAAAAAAAAGGTATTTCGGTTGAAAAGGGCAAAATACTTAAAATCATCAAATCGATAATTTTTTAAAAAATAATCTGGTATTTCGTGAGCGTGTGCCAATCGTGCGAATTAGATAATGATTGAAAAACTAAAACGAACGAAACACAAAAAGCATACAGATACACATTTCTTTCAAGTGGAATATAAGAGCTTGAATTCATTGGCCTTCATTAAGATTTATTTATTTATGTAGTTAACAAGTTCAGACCTTCCCGATCTGATGTTATGCGGTATATTTATCTCTTCTGAATAGAATTGACTTTCTAATAAATCACGAAAAGCGAACAAAGGTGGGAATAACGAAGAGGAATAGGGAAGTTAAGTTGAACAAAGTACAGTGTGAGAATATAAAATAAAAAAAAGAAACACGTTAGAATATTACATCAAATTCGGTGTCCAAAGATTTCATTTTACACAGTTCACTTACTTTTGTTCCCATTAATCAATCCTAAAAAACGTGTACAAAAAAGATAATTCGAGAGACTTTGAACAATGAATGTTCAGATCATAAATTTATAGTTGCAATTACAGTGCGCTATCGAAATATATTTCTTTCTTTTAAATCTTTTTTTACACAAATTTTAAATTAATTTTCAAATATCTTCTGCTTTTCCTTATCAGAGAAATTCAAAAAACGCATCAAACACTGAAGTCGTCAATCACAACGGGGTATGAATTGTGATTGTGTGAAATGTGAGATAAAAAAAAGACAAAAACATTTACAAGCGACGACATTGATAGAATAGAGAGAGAGAGAAAAAAAAAATAACACAACGGGTGAATTGAATAAATTAATGAAGTAAACTGTTTTCATCGAGGAAGAGAAAAGTGAATTTTATTTAAAAAAAAAAAAACGTGATCAAAATCAAAACTGGAAACTCAGCGAATATGCATCAATTAAATATAATAATAGTGGTGTGGATGGTGTTATTTTATATGTCGAATGGGGAAAATGTGCCAATTGAAGATACAACCGATACAGTGGTCGATGTATACGATCCGATGGGCTCCGATGAAACATTCGATCCACAGAAAGATTACATCGACATTAAAAGCTCATATGCGAAATTTTATAAATTGTCCGGTCCGCCAATTATGGTACCACCAGCATCACAACAAAAATCATGGCAACTGGTCGATGAGACAACCAATCCCGACAATTATGATGATACAAATGATATGACGTCAACAATTCCACCACAAATCGAACAACAGACCACAATAAAATTCACGGAAAATACTGTAAAGCGTACAATGAATGATATTGTAAAAAATACACCGCAGCCCAATACATTTGATACATATGAACAATCAATAGCACCAAATGCTGAGCATTTCATGCAAAAAACATCACTTCCATCGTCATCGTTCGAATTGACGAGCATCAATGGTGACAATAGAAGTGAAGATGATTTTGTCAATGAAACGGGCAATGATGCACAACCGGCTCCATTTGTATCCACACAAAACGACACAAATATTCACAACGAGAGCGGCGATTATATAAATGACGAAGCGATCGAAACAAATTATTCACAACCGATAACCTCCATACCATACTCAATGGACACAACAATTACATCATTACCCTCATCGCCTGTTTTCATATCAACACGGCCACCAACACCATTCTCGACCAGTACATCAACATCGACCATAACAGCAGCAGCAGCCGTTATATCGCCACCACTGGCATTAGTACCAGCACCACTTGCACCATCGCCAAATGGACGACCGATTACACCAATTCCACAAGTTAACAAACGACCGAAAAAAATCAAAGAAGATAAAGACGACGAAGAAAAAGAAGTGCCACGCATTTACAAATATAGTGCCGATGAAATCGTACGAAAATACTTAGATGACACATTTTTACGTGCACCGCTAGCCACACTTATTAATACCGCTCCAGAACCGTTACGAAAAGCAAAAATGCTATGGAAGTCAGCACTTCGACCAAATACACCAATCGACATCGTTTTGGTGGCTTTCAATTCATCAGGTAAGCGCATTTAAAACAAAGAAAAATATTAACAAACAATCAAAAAAAACACACACGAAACAAAAAAAAACGATCAATTTACAAATAAAAAAAAAACAGCAACTAATCTTCGCACGAAGAGGGCAAAGATTTGAATGTGGTTAAATGTACACTATATGTTAATGTATGTGAAAGAGTTTAAGAGAAAGAGAGAAAGAGTATTTCAAAATTTGAAGGCCCACAGGTCGATTAGTCAATCAAACAATCTCTATCACTTTCTGCACACACCAGATAATATGGCAATGCCGAACACAATTGATTAGATGTAAATATTACAATACTCACATCAAATCATATCTAAAGCGTTTTGGTTTACCGATTAATTATCGTTGTCATGCATGTCTTTGCATGCTTAATTGTCGACGATCAAATTATACATAATAAAGTATCAAAACGTTAATTTCAGATGTCAAAACATGAAATGTTTATTTGATCATCGTCGATCGCCGTCATTATCACCATCAAGATCGAAATGATCATAAGCCGTGTCGGTAATTAGCCTTGTATTTTTAACAGATTTCAAAACGACGCAGCAAAACGTGAATCACACACTCGAAGAGATAGAAAGATAGAAAATTGTTGATTCCATTTTTTGTATTAACGGCAAATTCGTGTAAATTTCCATACCAAGAAGAATATTTAAAAACATAAAATTGCAGAAAAGGAAACACCTTTCGGAAATAGCCAGAGATAAAAAATGCATTAGAAATGCCGTGGTGTAATCATAAGAAAAATACACGTGACAGAGAGACAATTTGTCTGCTGTCTTAAAATGTCTTATATGAGCCAAAGATGATAAAAAATATTGCGTATAGAGATTATATGCAGAAAATGCAATTGCATCACAGCATGTTTGATATTAATTTCTCTTCTGGTGCAAACTATAAATTTCAAATATATTGTTCTCAGCACTCTTTTCCCTTGTTAAATCAAGGTCATTTTCTTTAGCTCCAAATTGGTCACGTGGCTATACTTCTCTGAAGCATTAAAGTACTTGCAAAAAACAGCGCATTGCAAGATTAAATGTAGTTAAAAAGACGTATATTTATTGATATTTTTCTGTATCGTGATAAAACAGGTGTTGGTGTGACGTATAGTTTCAAGAATACTCGAACAATGATTGCCGGCTTGGACAGTGTACAAGAGTCACGTGAAATGATTGAAGGAGGCAGTGGTTTTTATGGTATTTTAAGAGCATCAGAACTAGTACCATATGATAGTGCAATATTCATAAGCACCGATAAAATTCCACAAGATCTTAGCCTTATGAAAAATGCGGCTACCATTTTACTGAAGAAAAGAATTCGGGTAACATTTTCATCGCTAATTTAAAATGGCAAATTTTTTTCGGTTTTTAAACGTTTTTCATTATTTTCCAGTTGTATTTAATTTGGTTTGGTGATCAAGTGATCGAAGAGAATGAAACGTCGATTGGCGGTGCTTTGGGTGAAGTAGCGTTACGTTCGGGTGGTGAAATTCTCCGTATTACCGAAGAATCGTTTGGCAACGGTGACATGGGACTGGTATGTTTAAATGTGCGATTCCACGAAATTTTGTGGTTTCAAACAAAATTAAATTGTGTCACGATTATTGTTTGTTTGCAGGTAACTCATTTCTTACAAAACGATATTCAAGGCGCCCAAATTCTGGAAATTCCCGTTAATACGACCGACACAAATTTGCATATAAAAATTCAGGGAAACGTCGATCAAGCGACAATCATGGCACCGACTGATGGTTAGTGTGTGTGTGTATGTGTATATGTGTCCGTGTTTTAGTCTATAGTTCAGAGCGAGATTATTGCAGAAGCCAAAATATCAAAAATCCATTGATTTGATCTTCTGTTTTATATATAGATTTTGGGTCGTCCAACAAACAAATTTCATATGTATATGTTGTAATGCATTTTTAGCTTTAATATTGTGTGGTTGATTCATTGTGAGCGTTTTATGAAATATGTGCTTTTTTAATAGGGTAAAAATGGAGGCGGCCACATTGTATTTTTCATGCTTTGAATATAACTTTAAATCAAAAATTAACAAATAGTAAATGTTTTACTAAGTTACGTGAAATGTTGTAAATATAAATAATAAAAAAAAATGTGTAAAGAAGGGTACAACAGTCAATCGAAAATAAGTGAACAAAGAAAAGCACACACGAACACGAAATTAATTCACAACGCGCTAATTATTATATATTTATACGTAGGTTGCTCCATAATTTTTTTTAAAATGGTACTTATAGTGTTGCCCGATGTAAACCATTGTCATATTCGTAAAGTTTGATGTTTTGGTATGTATTCGTGCCCTGAACCTTTTGTCGTACGAACGCTATTTGTATTGTTTACAGTGACTGGTAAACTGCGACTCAACAAAAAAATGAATTTTACACGTGAAGATTTTCGTAAAATGATTTACTACGATTTTCGAAGTAAATTATCTCAACAACAGTGTTTCGATCGACTTCATTTGGCCTTTGGCAATGAAGCACCAACCCTTCAGACAATTTATAACTGGTACCGAGAATTCCGTTGCGGTCGTAGTTCGCTCAAAGACGAGTTTCATACAGGTCGTCCAAAATCGGCTGTTGTGCCACAAAACATCGATGCTGTCAGAAAACTGATTATGGAAGATCGTCATGTGACCTACCGTGAGATTGAGGCATCTTTGGGCATTTCATCCCACAGCATACATACAATTTTGCATGAACATTTAGCCGTAAAAAAGATTTGCTCTCGTTGGATCCCACATAAATTGACCGATGAACAAAAAATGGCTCGTGTGAGTTGGTGTAAAGAAATGCTCAAGAAATTCAATCGTGGTGCTTCAAAAGACGTTAATAAAATCGTCACTGGTGACGAATCGTGGATATATGCCTATGAGCCCGAAACGAAACAGCAGTCGACTGTATGGGTCTTCCAAAATGAAGATAACCCAACGAAAGTTGTTCGAGCAAGAAGCACTTCGAAGCGAATGGTCGCCTGTTTTTTCGGGAGAAGTGGTCATGTGGCAACCGTTCCACTAGAGGATCGTAAGACCGTCAATTCTGATTGGTATACCACCATTTGTTTGCCCGAAGTGTTTGGTGAAATAAGAAAAAACAACCACCGTCGCAAAATAATTCTTCATCACGATAATGCGAGCTCTCACACATCTTTTCAAACTACTCGATTTTTGACCGGTCAAAACATCGAACTGATGGGTCATCCACCGTACAGTCCTGACCTGGCACCCAATGAATTTTTTTTGTTCCCAAGCGTGAAGAAAAAACTACGTGGTCAACGATTTTCGACACCAGAAGAAGCAGTTGAAGCGTTCAAAACACACGTTTTGGAGATATCAGTTTCGGAGTGGCACGAATGCTATGACAAATGGTTTCATCGAATGCAAAAGTGTATCGATCATCTCGGGGAATATTTTGAAAAACAATAAAACCATTTTCGACAAAAAACAACTGTGTTATATATGTTTTTAAAAAAAATTATGGAGCAACCCTCGTATTCATGTGCTATAAAAAAAGAGTATTCTAGATGTGTATTATGGCGTCTGTACATTTAATGTTTTGTCGCGTCCATATATATTTTATTGTATTATGTATTTTTGTATTATGTATAGGTAGATAGGTATTAGTGTCAAAATTATTTAAGTATTAATTTTTGTCGTTTTTAATTCGGATCATCGAGTTAGATCTAAGGACCGTCCTGCAATCAATGCAAATATCAAGCATTATTTTCCTTTCTCATTCACGATACATTTTATTTTCTTGTGTCAAACAAATATATGCGCGTGTATAGTACAAAAGTAGAAATTGATATGTGGTCTTTTTTTAAACAAAATGTTTTGTTATCGTTGGAAAATCTAGCAGCAATACGGAATTATTCCAGACAATTTAAAAATATATTTTCATCATACAATCGGTGCTACGAAGACTTGATGAGCTCATTCGCTATACCAAATTAGTAATTGCTTCCATGATATGCCGATAGAATGACAAAAACTGACGTCAACAGTTGTAAAAACCAGACATTATATTTAGATATTTTCAGCCAGCTGAATCAGTTCAGGCAGCTAAAATCAAGCGCTGAAATGGAGTGAAAACGGAATGGAATGGATTGAAGTGATTGCCATAGTAACTGAAACAATGGAAGTGTTTTTATAGCACGTCTATAGTTGTTGCTCCATTTCACCGCCTAATCGTTAGCCACTGCTAAACTGAATCATCTAGCTGAAAATATTTCAATAAACTATCTGATAAAAACGATGTGTAACATTGAAAAAGACACGTTAAATCCTTGCCAAAAACGACAATTGGCGCTGAACTAGATTTTATACGTAATGTTTTAAGTTAATAATGAAATGTCACTATGAAAGATAAGTGAAATCGAAATCGTTTAAAAAGAAAGAATATACCACTAAATTGTAAATAGTAATGTAATAAAATAAAAAAAAAACAATGTAATTGTAATCGAATCATTGTTTCAAATGACCGAGTAATCGTTTTGTGCCTGACAGAAGACGAGTGTGCGCGCGCTCACGCACGCAAATTCAATTTGTAATCAATCTAGCAAAGAAAAAGGCGAATAGAAAATAGATGGTTTCAGCTGATTCGGTTGTTATGTATTATACATTCAAGTCCGAATCAACATCAAACTAAAAACAACAAACTATTTGAAATACATGTACATATATATTTTTTTTTCAATTTGCTCCATATAAATGGCAAAAAGAAGAAGAAAACCACACCAGTGCATATTAAATACGTTAAAATGATGCTTCCTGCTTTCATATCAAGTTTGTATATGTTTAATATCATTAATTCATTGCCTTTTTTGTTTTGTGTTCTAATTTTTTTTGTTGCGCGCTTCATTTCTAGACAGTTTTAAATGAAGATCTATCTGTGTGGAATGATAATAGTTGCAATGTGCGAACTAAAATATGCGGCAAACGCATGGTCTATCTATCACACGGTTGCTGAACGTATGTAAAAAGAGCAAGTGGTGAAGGTTGTAAGATGATGAAAATAGTTTGACGGACGAAAAATTCACTCACATTACAAATGAAACACTTTCTACTTTTCTGCATAGTTTCACCTATTTTCCGCAAAATGATCATCACTTTTCTCGATTAGTATTACCTGTCAATAGATACCTTGGATAGATTCATAAAATTTCACTTTGAGACACTAATGACCCGACGAAAAATGCTAATGCACCCGAAATAGATCGTTAATCGTATTTTACATTTGTTTTTCGTTTATTATCAAAGCTATATTTTCTTTTAACACACAAAAAATATGCACAGTTGTAGCACGATATCAATTCAGAATCAACAACTATCAAAACAAGGGAGAATAATAAAGTGAGACGTTTTTTTCACTGACGTTTTCTATCGAATTTAAAACCAACAGTTCACTTGATGTAAATCTTGTTTCAATTCATGAAAAAAATGTCTGTAGACGTAAAAGCAAAAAAAATAATAATAATAACACACACACACACACTATATTTTCTCTATACGATAATGATTATACACAAAACGAAAGTAATTCTCCCTCGCCAAAATGAAACAAATCGTTTTTCTTTTTTTTTGTGATCGTGGTGATGAGCATAAATATTGAAAACAATGACAGCAGCTTACCAGATATATATGTGTGTATACTTCGATGCGAATAAAAATACGCAAAAGAGTAATAGGCAAAAAAGCGGAGAAAAATAGAAAACAATATTTGCTTGTATGCGAGTGTTTGTGAGCTATGCGTATGTAGCGTATAGAAATCGCAATAGAACAAGATTGGCTGTATACACCAGAGAGAGAGAGAGAGAGAGAGCAAGCGAGCGATTTCAAAATAAAAGCTAGAAAGAGGGAGAGCGGAATAGAAAGTTAAAGTAGTAACACATATGGTACGATTATCAAACAATGACAGCTGTTGACAGCACACTCACACACACACGTATTACACATAGACATGTACGTTATGTTTTTAATTCATAGGTTAGGTTAAGATACAAATAAACAACACAAATTGTATATATGCACCTCGTATGATTATTTATGACGAAAAACTAATGGAAAATCAATTATAACCAGAAAATCACCACACAAAATTGTGTAGTTTCAAACGATATTCGACGCACTTGTGATGTGAATTATCGCCTTTTTGACATTTCCAACGCTATATATTTTGTGTCTCCTGTCTTACTCCTTATGTTTTGTTTTCAAATTTTTACAAACATGCGCATTAGCTTTCGCATACATCATGTCATGATTCAAAATAGAACAAAATTCCAAGCAACCGACGGTGGTTTTTGACGTTGCTTATTTTAAATTTCAATCTGTTAACAAACTGTTTATGGAGATTTGAAAATATCTAACACCTGTTTGCATTGCTTTTTTTTTGTCTGTGTTTGTTTACAACATTCTTGGGAGCATGGAACACTTTAATAAACTTATTTAAAATTTATCTAAATCACTTTTTATAGGAAAAATCTGTAATCTACTTAGTATTGATTCAGTTAAAAGATTTTCGAATGGTTCACGTGCAATTTATATGCCAAATGATCAGAAGTTTGTCATCGATTTAAATATAACGGCCACACCGAAAGGTATTTACGTACTGACCATTGTACCGGAGATAACAAATAGTGGAACGTACGAAAAATACAATCTTATGGTTGATTCGGAATTTGATCGTCGAACGACAAAGAATGAAATTGATACAACAATGGGTAAGTGTTTGAACGTTTTGCATTACTACATTACAGTATTTACGATGACTCAGTGTTCAAAGTTTTTTATCACATTGTTCTAATTCCGAAGAAAAAAAAACAAAAGATTTTTTTCTACGCTTTTCATTGACGTGGTTTTTTTTACATCGTCATTGCAATGGGGACAATCCCAAGTCGTTCATCCAATTCAAATTCCGTTTGTGTGTTGTCGATGTTTTCTTTTTTTTTAATTTTATTTTGCTCATTTAATGATTGTCAAAACGTAATTTATGGCGTAAAGCACGAATGAAACGAGAGAAGAGGAAAAAAATAAACGAAGAATTTCACAATCTTAATCGCACTTTAGGTCAAGTGGTTTTGAATATCAATTTTAGTTTGCTTATACTATATTGTACTATATAATTAATTTAAATACGGAAATTACATATTCATAAAAGGACTGCCTAGAATATGACATGAATGAAAAGAAAAAGAATGGCAATTCGGCTTTAAAACGAGGAAATATGTACACGTAATAGATTATTGTTTTGCATAAGAACACCGAAAACAAACGACAAAACAACAACTCAGTTTGCTAACACGATATGATGTGCAGCACATTGTGCACCTTGAAAACCGACATTCGACCGAAATGCTCTTACACGTTATTATCATTAATAATCAAAACATTCTTTATCTCACACGCGACGCATTTCACTTCGAATGCTTTGATGAGCTATTTATTTATTTTCTCCTCATCTTGTATGTTTATATGATATACTCACGCGTCGTTTATGATACTGAACTCTGATATGGATAATGTTGTCGATTTTTTATTTAAATGTGCTATTTTGTTACAGAAACACCTGTTTCTTAAATGCCTGTTCCTTTATTGCATTCAAGCACACGTCGAGAAAAGAATTATGGTGTATCCTTTGCAATATATCACATTCAACTAACTCCATCGCTTTAAATTTTGTTCACATAAACATCACACACACACGCACACCGCTTCCGACATACTCATTTCTTTTTTTTTTCATTTAAAAATCTGTATAAAATGGAATGGGCCAACGTAATAAATACTTTGTCTATTTATGAAAGCACTTCGACACATAGACATTAATACGCACTTGAATCTTTCTCGTGCACGCCAAACTCGCATACACATTTAAGAGTAGAATATAATCAAAACGTTTTTTCTCTCTCTTTTGCTTTCTTTCTCTCCTCCTCGTACGAATGGAATTACCTCAAAGAGAATGGTGTAATTGTGTAACACGAGTGTGATAATTGTCGAACAAGAACAACAACAACCGAACATAAATTAAAAGAGTATCTCTGGTGTGTCTTTTGAAAGCGATTGTAATAAAGCATCGGAACAAAAGTATACATGACAATCAAACAAGAGAAACCGTTTATAATAACAGTCAAAAATCTGCACTAAAACACAGACACACACACACTGTGACGAACTTTGATCTTTTTCTACGTCTGTGAACAGAGAACGAACACAGATGAAACGACATGGATTGAGCCTTTTTCTCATTTCATTTATTCGCTACTCAATTATAATCACTCCGTAATTACTCAATTCGAAAACAATCACATAATCATAATCGAATGTGTGCCTTCGTCACTCGGATGCAAACATTTCATTTGAATGTGTTGTTTACCTTATCATTGGCCGCAATAATTTGCTTTGCTGGCAAATGAACTTGAGCGCTAATTTTTCTATCAAATAATACAACTAAGAATTAAAACGAGATTCGAAATAGCACAAATGGCTCATTTTTGTACTGAATGACAAACTTATTATTAATTCGCGGTTTTTTTTTAAATATTTCAAATTAGAATACTTTTCCCCAAACGATGGACTTATGTTCAGAAATCGCAGAAGGTAGGATTTGACATAGCTTTTTTAGTTTTATTTTTTGTTTATTTTTTCGTTATTTTTTTTTTTAAATCAGCGAAACACTCTCCGAAGCACGTGATGATGAAGTTGTTTGGCCGGAATACCAAAACGATAATCAATTTGACGAGCCTCAATTCATAACAAATGGTAGGGTTAATGTCAAGCGATAACAATCACACACAAACAATTTTGGGTTCACGCCCGTAAAACGATAAATTATCAATAATTTTCGCAAATTTATTTTTAAGACACTGAAATCTTGACGCGAAGTGAAAAAAGTCTCCTGCAATCGGTGACAAAAATTGATTTGGGTGCACAATCACAATTGCTAGCCAATCCTGGTTCGACCGTTCAAATTTACTATGAAATCACCAATTTGCGAGATGTACCAACACTTCATAACTTTCAAGTGACTGATGAACAACGATTTTTACGCACTTTAAATCCCGTATCGTACGTATATTACATTTGAATTTAAATACCGAATCAAATGAACTAAAATTTATGGATCAATTTAAAAAAGGATGTGGTTGGCACCAGGTCAAACGAACAATGCCATCGTTACATGCTTCATTCCAGCGAACATTGAAGTCGGTACAAAGGATAAAATCACATTTACATCACCCGGACAAAATTTGGCAAGTCAATCGGCTATTCTAACGGTGACATCGCCACAATCACCCATACAGGTTTGCATGAGAGTGTAATTCTGCATTGAAATGTATTCGAATTGAAGATGTTTATATATTTTAGGATCGTTATGCACCGTATGTGTACTGGAAGTATGGAAGTCGATGCTATGGTCGTAGTGAAGCTGGACATTGTGCGGGTTCGATTTGGTCAGTTGAAATAACAACCTATGACACTGATACGGGAATTTTACGCGTACAATCAAGTCCAAAAGGCTTATTAATTCGTGACCGATACACAGCCGGAACAACGGAAGAGGTCAAAGCCACTTACACAGCTTCATGTTGTACACCACGTGTTACAATAACAAGCTATGATGTTGCCGGCAATCCAAAGACAATTACACTCGACGTAACCGATTTTTATTTAGAGCCAATGGAAATTGTTGCAATCGTGCTGGGCTCAATTCTATTGCTTATAATTATCGTTGCGATAATTCTGGGAATTATTTATTGTTGCAAAAAGCATCGAAACACTCGTGAACTACCGGTATACCGGAGCCGGGCCGAAAGAGATCGGTCTACATAATCCAAACATAAAATTCACATCACTTAGGCCTTTTTTGGTGGAGGTAGCGAAAGCACACACAAACAAACACGTCGATCATCAGCACACTGTTCGCGATCATTCCCTTTAAACTTAATTAACGACGACTTTTTTTCTACTTAACTCAATTGAGCATTTTTATTAAACATACTATCAATATCATGTAAAAACAAAATTTAGATAAGAATAATCAAAACAGGGACTATATTTGTACAATAGAAAATAAGAAAACTACATATGTTAACAATGCAAAAAAATATACACGAAGGCGATGTGCGGAGAGTTTCAGTTGTTTTTATTTGTGCATTTTTTGTGAAAGTCCATTGAAATTGTGCAAAGAAAATGTTGATGTCACACAGAAAACACCGCCAACATATGCATAATTGGATTGCAAACTGTAAAAATTAGACAAACCATATGGAATATTGTCGATTACCTCGATTCTCTTTTGAACCGTGAGGCTGCAACGATGATGGTGGCGGTGGCGATGGTGTTGCTACAACAACAGGGGCAGCAGCAGGCAATAGAATCGAACTATTTACAAAATCATCAATTGAACCAGCCACTGCACTTAATAATGGATTTTTTACAATAACTCGCGACGTGTCACTTTGTACATTTCTAGCCGACATATTTATTTGCCCGTTGTCGATGCTCGATGCCAATTTAATTGATTCACTTAAACAAAATAATTAAATTTGTGTCTGTAATTTTTTTTTTATTTCCTTTCAATCGTGCTCGTATTCACTAAACAGATTTTATCAGAGAAAATTTATGGAAATGGCCAAGACACAGGCTAAATATCTCTATCATAGGTAAATACTATAGTATATTTAAAAAAAAAAACAACAACATACAATACACAGTGAAACGTTATGATGGTTTCTTTACTTCTTTATATCAATCTTCTTGATTCAGTTAATATTTACACATAAATCCAATTGGTTATCACTTTAGATTTGACAGCTCAACCATTTGTTGCAAAGGCAAAGTGACAACTCATACCTGCCAACATATAATTGAAAGTGTCACCTTTTTATATCATCAAATCGATCATTCGGTTTATCTTTTCGGTGGTATCGGTCATCCATTGTATGCAAATGCAAATTCATTGCGGCCGAATTCAATTGAAACAAAAATCATCAAAATTTTGCACATTTTTTTATTCAAAGAAATATTGTGCGGTAGAATATTTTGAAATGAACCTGAATAATGCGATTTTAGTTTGACATTTCACCAATAGATAACGCCAGCATCTTTTACTGATAATTTATTTAATGTTTTTTTTCGGTGTTTCTATTTTTTTTTTTGGTATGAAATTCATACTATGAATACAAATGCTTTGTATATATATTATATATTTTGGTTCGATTTTCAGAATCTTAAAACATAATGAGTTTGTGTACAAATTCAATGCGGCTCGATTGCTTTTCCGTACATGTAACGATACATCTTGTGCATCAAAGCATTCGACCATTGCTTATGAGGCTTGATTCGTGAGCTTTTGAGCCAGTCCCAATCGGCGATATACCTTACCTTATACTCTTACCAGTTTTCTTGGATGATTTGACGATAGCACCATAAAACTCTCAAGATCAAAACATACAAATACAATTGAAATAGACAATTTTGCCAAATATTGCTTCAAATTTTATTCAAACATACATATTTATAATTAACAGTTTTATGGCAGACACCGTAAATACGATGATTGTATACGATGTTATATAAATTAAATTTCCTTTACACGTATTCGACTAATGGAGACACTGAAACGAGATAATTCTATGTTATATACGAGATGATTGAGCACGTACTATTGATGACATGTAACTGCGTTGCTTTGTCCTCGACTCACCAGGGTTCTCAGATTTGAGATAGAATGATTTGTTAAATAAACAAATCGTAAGAAAAATCATGATTTGAAGTGAACAATGCGAATCAAATAAAACATTGGATGGTGGTATATATTTTAAATCAAATCAAATGATTTGACTTTTTTATCTTGATTTGAAAAAAATTGACGAGTGAAAAAAATACTTTGAAAATCATTTGAAAATCATTTGAATTGAAATACACTATTCAAATCAATTAAATCGTTTCATTTGATTTAAAATTTACATGACCAATTAAATCAAATCGAATAACTTATTTGATTGTATATATATTGACTCGCTGTACATTTTGAATCCAGTTTGAACAAATTTCCGTCACAAAATGGTATTCGGTTCATTAAACATTGCCATACTATTCGTAGTTGGTGTTTTTGGCCATAATAGTTATGCTGATCAGATTGATTCTGGGCAAGCTATTCAAATTTTTGGCCCAACTGCAAACCAAACATTCGAATTGAAGCTTGAAACGTTGAATGAAGCACTAGAGCAAAATGGCATTAAAGATCGTGAAATTGTGGTCGTTTCAGTCGTTGGAGCAACACGAACGGGAAAGTCCTTTCTCATAAACATCATAATGAAATATTTATACGCTCAGGTACAACTAAAAGTTTAAATTTGAATATGAACAATTAATTTTATTGTTTTAATGAATAGTATAAAACTCATGATGTATTGGATTGGTTGGAAGAGGGAAACGATGGCAGCATACGGAAATATCTCGAATATAAGGATGGAACTAAAGCTCACACAAAAGGAATATGGATGTGGTCGGAGATTTTCACCTACGATTCCAATAATGGTGATAAATTGGCAATAGTTCTAGTCGATACACAGGGACTTTTCGATCATGAGAGCGACTCAAAACTTGTTTCAACCATTTTTGCTCTGAATATGATGATCTCTTCGGTTTTGTGTTACAATATAAAAGGAAACGTTCTAGAAGATCATTTAACACAGTTGAAGGACTTTACCGATTTTGCTCGCTATGTAGAACGTGAACGAGAAGCCAGTGCAAACGAAAAGCCTTTTCAAAAGCTGCTATTCATTTTACGAGATTGGCAATTTGTTAAAGATCATAACTTTGGACATCAAGGTGGAAAAGATTACATAAATGAAGAAGTTCTAAAAGAAACGTCTGCACAAACACACGGGATGAAAGAATTGAGAGCAGATATAAAAGAGAGTTTTGGACAAATTGACGGATTTCTAATGCCAAGTCCAGGCGGTAAGGTTTTGAGTGGTTTTTCGTCTGGTAAAGTTTCCGATATATCTGAAACCTTCAGAACAAGTCTGAAAGAACTGGTTAAGGTTCTTTTCCATCCAGACATGCTCATTGTTAAAGAGGTCAATGGAAAAAAATTGAAGATAAAAGAATGGTTGGACTACCTGCAAGTATATGCACAGACATTCCAAAGCGCTTCATCCAGCCAATTTATTGAAATGTTCAAGGTATGTATCCTGGTCGTCATTAACGAAACAAAACAATTTATCAAATCTTATGAATAGGCATATACTTAGTGAAAGCTATGAAAATCTGAAAGGATCAGAAAAAAAAGTATTGCATGTTCGATCAAAAGCAATTGTAATACAAAAATTTGTGCCCAAAATTCGAAAGATACAATCTTCGAAAGGGAAAAAATGAATATACAGTGTCCAACTCGCAACACATTGGAACATTCAAATAATGAAACGAAGAAAGAAAAACACGACTGAGGCACCCAAGAAGACTGGTTTCATTTATCTTTTCGAACATTTTATGTTGCTAATTTTGACCTTTTACAACTACACATACATTCACTATATTCAATTTCTATTCACATATAGGCTGGTGAAAAGTGGTTTAATAATAATTTGGCCGACAAGTCATTGAAAGATTATGTAGAATCAATGAAAAGTTCATTGAAAAATCATTCATCATATTTGACTGATCAAGAACTAGACAAGCTGCACCAGGATAATAAAGTAAAATTTTTAGAACAGGTTCGTACATTGTAATCTGTTATATTCTTTTTATTATCTCGATCCACAAATACTAACTTAACAAATTTTTCGTCGAACATACTCTATAAGCAACTAACATTTTTCTATTGAATAGTTCGAGCAATCACCAAAATATGGGCGCCCTGAAAGAGCATACCCTGCTAAAGAGAAATTAGATCGGGAGATTGAAGAAAATTTCAATACATTCAAGGCAGATAATTTGGAGAAAAAAAATACCTTTGAGGTGATTATCAAATGAAATATATCTATAATGTATTATACCGGAACAGAATTACAAAACGCAATTTTTCTCCTCTTACAGATAAAAGCCAATTTAATTAACAAAAATTTAGTTAATAATTTAACTACAGAGTTTGAGAATTATGTTACAACTAAAGTTGAAGACACAATGTCAGAATTGGACAAATCATTCCTTGATACTTTGGCAACTGATTTTCTAGATAAAAAGAATTCGATTTTGCAAAAGGTAATTCAAAGCTATGGAGCCCATTATACTAAAGAGTTTAATAAGACCAGTTACTACTTGAATTCATATGATTTTCGATCAGAGTGACCAATACTTTGTATTACATTCAAATTCACTTGGCTCATGCCAGTGAAGCTCGTCTATTGTTTACATTAAAAATAGGTGTTGCTGTTGTTGTTGTCGCTTCAATATCTTGAGATAATTAAATGCAAAGTTCTTTCACAATAATGATTTTGATATTTTCGTAGTTCGATACAAAGAAAGAGGGCACTGACGACCTTGCAAAAGTCTTGCGCCAAGAACTGAACGACAATATGGAAACTTTTTATCAGCAACTGATACCATTGTCTTCAACTTATAAAGATTGTATCGATTCATACACGAATTCCATGCAAGACGCACTCAACAATGCCAAATCATATATGAAACCGAGTGAATTCGAAAAAAAACATAATGAAGCAAAGGATAAGTCAATTCAAAAATTGAAAGTAATACCTTGAACTATTTGTATAAAATGATTAATCGATTTCTTATTCCAAAACCATTGCATTCAATAGATTACCACAAATTCAAAGCTAAAGGGAATTTTCATACTTAATGCCATTAGTGCTATCGAAAAAAAATATGCAAACTTCAGAAATATAAACAATAAAAAGCCAAAGCCAAGCCCTGTAAGTAAGACCGTAAAGTTTTTTTTAAACTCTCGTAGTTTATTGGTATTTAAGAGAATACAATTACAAGATTATTTAATCATTATAATCTCATCGAAATCATTTTTTTTTCTTCATATTTTGAAATATTGTCTACTGACTTAGTCTCCTTGATTCTAAATAACACTTAAACTTTATTTAAAATTTAGGATGAAGGCCGTATGGCACTCACTGTTTCAGTTTGCAGTGCTAATTTTCTGGAGAAGAAAAATTGGTGTGACGATACGACAAGATGTGATCCATACATAAAAATCTTCATTAATAATAAAGTGGTGATAGAATCTAAGGTATATGAAGATAATCAATACCCGGATATCAAAGAAACATACTTAACGGATAATTTCATACATAAAAATACACCCATTAAAATCGAAATGTGGGACTCAGATAATGGCAATGATGACCGGATGATGGATTGGCACTTCGATCCCGCAACATTATTAAATAAGGGCGGTTCAGATCGGAAAGTTGAAAATGCAAACTGCATTGATGCAAGCTTAGTATGGATACCAAAAGAATAAGTTTTATCATATCGAACAATGCAAATATAATACTTCAATATGCTTTGGGACAATGACCTTGTTAGAATGAAAATAAATTCATCATTTCGCTGGAAAAAAGATGTTGTAGTTTATTATTATTTATTACAGTTTTCGTTTCTCCTGCCATCAACAATCTTGCTATTTTACTTCACATTTATTTTTCGTTTCAAACACATACACATTGACGTAAGCATGAGTGTGACATACTGCATACAGTTTTTATGTGTCCGGACACTGGCTCGACCTAACAATTGAAAATGATCTTCAACTATCAGTGCAATAATAACAACAACTAACAGGGAATTAACTTAATTTGACAGCTCAACCATTTGTTGCAAAGGCAAAGTGACAACTCATACCTGCCAACATACAATTGAAAGAGTCATCTTTTTATATCATCAAATCGATCATTCGGTTTATCTTTTCGGTGGTATCGGTCATCCATTGTATGCAAATGCAAATTCATTACGGCCGAATTCAATCGAAACAAAAATCATCAAAATTTTGCACATTTTTTTATTTAAAGAAATATTTTGCGGTAGAATATTTCAAAACGAACCTGAATAATGCGATTTTAGTTTGACATTTCACCAATAGATAACGCAAGCATCTTTTTTTTAAAGAAGAAATAATCAACGCTAAATATGCAAATAGATTTTGTATGAAAAAGTTCAAATATGGAATCTTTTACAAATTTATTTCAATTATAAAATATGCTAGTTTTACATGGAATTAAAAGTGTCTATAGACATTTTGCATATATGCAAAAAGAAACACATTTGGCAATTTCTCTTTTACTGATAATTTATTTAATGTTTTTTTTTTCGGTGTTTTATTTTTTTTAATAGGTATGAATACAAATGCTTTGTAGTCCCGTTTTTTTCGCGTATTTTATTGAATAATTTGTTGTTATCAAACTCTATCGTCAACAATTGAGTGAGTTTGGTTGATGGAACAAACGAACTAAATCATAGGAAAAAAACAAAAAAAAAAGTGTTGGCGGGGTTTAAGAGCAACAATGGCCATCGTGATGGGCATGTCCATGACCGTCTGAATGTGATTTAGTTTTAAACACAATTTCATTGCTGGTTTCGTTGGTATCTATGGCTTTCTCTGGGTCTAATTCTTTTGCAATTTCGGATAAGTCTCGTCGCATTGAGTACGCATCTTCACCGTCTGCATAATATTTTGGTTCGATTTCCAGAATCTTAAAGCATAATGAGTTTGTGTACAAATTCAATGCGGCACGATTGCTTTTCCGTACATGTAACGATACATATTGTGCATCAAAGCATTCGACCATTGCTTGTGAGGCTTGATTCATGAGCTTTTGAGCCAGTCCCAATCGGCGATATGAACGTTTTACAGCTAACGACGTAATATGACCATGTTTACTTTCTTCATTCGGTTCGGGCTCTTCCATTTTTGCCAAAACATAACCAACAATATTGCCCTTGTCATCTTCGGCAACATAGCTGAGCTGTGGCCAGGTTAAACCATGATAGAAATAGTATTTCATTTGATAGTTTTCGGGCAAACAAAGCAAATTGCAATGTTGCATATTCATGAGATCCTCAGGTTTTGCACAGCGGATATTCATATTGTTATTGAATTATTATGTTACAAAAAAGTGACAGAAATTAGTTTGTCTCTCTCTCTCTACGTTCGTCTTAATCACGTCGTAGTTTTTTCACGCGGCTTTTTTTGTTATCACTTTTTGAACCGTTTGGTGATGGTGAACCGTCACTAATCTGTCCCAATAGCTCTCTTACCAAGCGAAACCGCGACAGAAATACTTTCCACACGCAATACCACCCTAATACAGAAACAAACAAGAATTGAAATTTGTTAGAATAAAATTGATTTCGAACAATGTGCAATGAAAGAGAATGAATTGTAAGGAGTTTCGCATTGATGCATTCACATAACCTCAATTGTTTATATACATGTAAAATACATGCAATGTGATGAAGTTTGGAATGTCTCAATGGAATATAGTAATGCGAACAAATTAGTTATGCCCAACACTCCTCGCTACAATAATATGAAAATTAGTAATCGGCAATTTGTTTCTTTTTTTTCTGTATTTCATTAAAACATGAATAATGTAAATATTCAATTGTATACCTAATAAAACGGCCAAACAAACTAATAACAAGGAACCCAGAATCGATAAAATAACACTTAAAATCTGTTGAAAGTCCATTTAAATAAAAGTGGTCTATCGCTTTTTATTACATATAGCCGTTTAAATTATGACTTCGCACGAACTATATTTTATTTTTGTTTGTTACATGCAACTTTATTTGGCAGGTTATGTGCACACACGGTTCAATCAACTATAAAAAAGGAATATACTGAATGTGTTAAAAAAAATCGATTGTCAGTTCGCAAGCATGCGATTTACTGGACTCAACAAAATGTTCAATCAACAAAAAAAGCAAAATTTTCCTAAATTTAAATAAAAAAAAAACAATAAAATAACAAACTGCAAGCATTTCAGATGAATTATTTTCAATGTAAAATTATAATTAATTACCAGCAATGTTGTCGGTGTTGTTGTGTGTTCTAAATGTTGTGTCTTTGTATCTGTAGAGTGCTAATCATCGCATATTTGACATACACAATGTGTTACCCATGTAAAATGTGTGTGTGTGTGTGATTTTTCTATTGACAGATTGTCCGATGTTTGAACGAAAATACATAAGCCCGAAACCAAATTATCCCGAAACACTGCAAACTATTTATTATTCACAGGCTGACTTGAGTTTCGATTACGGGTTTTTCGTATAGTTTACGATGATTTGATGAGAGATCTTTTCGCAACGAAATTTAAATTCATGAATTAAACTTATTGTTGGCGCATCGAAACTGACATTTCAAGCTGTCAATCTGGTTGTGACCACACATGTAAACATGTCAATTCAATTGTAATACGCTGTTGTGAATAAGACGAAGAAAAAAAAATAACAAATTGCAAAATAAAATTATTAGTACGAATCGTGAAATTAATAATAACACGGAAATGCAATTCATGCTTAGTCTGATAATTCGTTGTCATTAAATGGAATTGCATTTTACATTAAAATCGATTCTTTAATAATTCAGTGGATTGAAGAAGAGATATTCAACAGCTGTTGAATATTTTTTACCTTTAATAAAAATATATTAAGAAGATGTCATGACACCGATGTTTACTATTTAAACAAAACCAAAAAACAACATTTTAAGACACCATTTGAATCGATGTGATACGAATGTTAACACAATGAAATTGTACAAATTAATCACACATCAAAGAAACTTCAGTGGTAAGTATTTAATAATTATTTATTTTATCAATTTGAGTTGATCTGAGTGAGTGACAATTCGATCCACAGCTGAAGACCTGATTCTAAATCCGAAGGATCATCCCGAAGCAAAAATCGGCGATGTCGTCGAGATCTATTTGCCAGACGACGATGGAATTCGATTATTGTTGCAAATCACATCCTTTCAAGAGGACAAAAAGGGAGCCAAAGGTGAACTTTACATTTATTTTACATTCATCGCCAAACGTTTTAATTAGAGTATGTATTTTTTATTCGAAATTAGATGTGATCAGCATTGATGCGAACATTGCATCAGCATTCAATTTACCCACTTATTCCGAGGTGGTGATGCGAACCATTGACCCAGCCACCGTGGCTTTAGACTCAGTCGAAATCACATTCAAAGACCAATACATGGGCAGATCAGAAATGTGGCGACTCAAAACTTATTTGGTGGGTTTCATCTTTTTCTCAATAATTTCACTTGGGTTTAATCGAATCTATGTTCTAATTTTAGACAAATACATGCGTGTATACCAATAAAAAGATTGAATATTGTACATCGTCAATTCGTTGTCAAATCTATGAGCTGTGGTCTCAGGGCGACCGGGTGGCATGCGGTGTCATCACCGAAGACACAAAAGTCGTATTTCGTAGCAGTACATCGATGGTTTATCTATTCATTCAAATGTCGTCAGAGATGTGGGACTTTGACATTCATGGTGATTTGTATTTTGAGAAGGCGGTCAATGGTTTCCTAACCGATTTGTTTATGAAATGGAAGAAGATGGGATGCAATCATGAGGTGACAATTGTATTATTCTCTCGTACATTCTATGCGGCAAAAAATTTGGACGAATTTCCACCGACGATGCGTGAATGTTTACAAATGGATTATAAAGGTCGATTTTATGAGGATTTCTATCGTGTAGCTATTCAAAATGAACGCAACGATGACTGGAGCTCGATATTAGTTCAATTACGAAAATTGTTTACGGCATATCAAAACATTGTGTTACATTATCATGAACGGCCGGGCGGTGTTACAATACCATCGGCTACAAATTCAACGGCGGCCCAAGGAAATTTTCTTGAAGTACTCAATATTTCGTTGAATGTTTTTGAAAAACATTATTTGGATCGTAGCTTTGATCGAACCGGACAATTGTCCGTTGTGATAACACCGGGTGTTGGTGTGTTTGAGGTCGACAGAGAATTGACCAATATCACCAAACAACGAGTGAGTATTTGCGTCATTTTAATATTTTTTGCCAGAAGTTTTTAATTTTATTTGTGTGTAAGATAATCGACAATGGAGTTGGCAGTGATTTGGTGTGCGTCGGTGAACAGCCATTACATGCTGTGCCTTTGCTGAAGTTTCACAATAAAGACTCATCGATAGATGCTATTGATGACTATTCCATGCCACATTGGATCAATTTAAGTTTCTATTCGACAAATAAAAAGGTTGCCTATTCATCATTTATACCGCGTATCAAATTGCCGCCATTGCGATCGCAGTCCGATAAAGAGGATGAAAATAAAGAGAATCAACGGCAAAAATTCAGCATTGATTCACATCAAAGCGAGTATATTCATAACTCGCTATTCGATTATGATGCATATGATGCACAAATATTCACATTGCCTTCAATACATGGGACATGGTAAATAGTTACATATGAATATTTTTCTTTTTTTTTTTCAAATAAAAGAATGAAATTAAATTTTCAGCTCTCTGCATCGTAATCCGAGAGCGAAGAAATCATCTGTACCAAATATTGATATTTATAGCACAACAATTTCATCAAATGATTTGAAGGCATCCACATCACCAAAGCAAATTCTAAGTCGAAAGCGATCGGAACCAGACATTCATTATGGCACAAATAATCTCGGTGAATTGGTACGTTTTTATATTTGAAAGATTGACTATGAAAAAATCGAATCAAATATGATTTTCTCTGAATTTTAAGGTTCGATTTGATAATTTGAATGTATCCGAATCAATGACAACCATTGAAAAGCAATCCAGAAACCATGTACCAATAAATGAGTCAAAATTATTAACACGTCCCGGCCGTGCGTTGATAAATCCATTTGCTCCGTCCCATGTAACAATTAAATTAACCTCAAATCGTCGACGATGGACACATATTTTTCCAAAAGGACCAACAGGTGTGCTGATTCAACAGCATCATTATCAAGCAGTTCCAACAAATACATTCAATTTTGTTACAAACGAAAATAACGAAATGGTTTCTATGAAGCAAATGACCACCGGCAACCAGAACAACAACAGAACATTGAATCAATCGTTCACCGGAAGCATATGCAGCCTATCCAGCATTTCAGAATGTAAGTAATTTCAATAATTGAATTAGTTAGAAATTGCCGATAATCTCAAATCAAATCGAAGTAAATTGATTTTTTAATACTTTATGTCATTCTAAATATACAGATAAGCGAAAATCCTCAATATTACATTCTCCGGCTGGTCCAATGACGAATGTTGAACCATCGAAAACATTGACGCTGCTATGGGGTGCAACTGGTGAACAAGAATGGACACCGGCTCTAACAACTGGTAAGAAATTTTTGCTCTTGCAAACATCAAAAGAAAATCAAAACACATTTAAAATTCAAAATTTTCACCAGTTTACGAGAATATATCCAATAATTTTCTTCTAGATGTTTTAAAATACTTTGGAAGTAAAATTCGATTTCAGAGATAACGAAATTGGATTTTTTTTAAAAAACATTGGAGCATTTTTAAGCGATTGTGTTTGATTGCCTTTAATCAAAATTTGTTATTAATTCCAAATAACAATCAACAGTTTGACATAATCCGAAGATTTTTTTTTAGCTAAATTTTAGAATATCCATCAACATAATTTTAAGAAATAATATTACCAAAAGACTGAGAAAAAAACATAATTAATGGAATATATTCTTTCTTCTTTTTCGTTTCAAACTGTTTCATGTGTCCATGAATTTTTCAAAAAAAAAAAACAAAAAATTAAAATTACATCATCATCATATCATCATTGCCTCTTCGAACTCAAAATCAAAAATAAACAAAAAAAAATCTAAAATGAAAAATATAAAACAGGACTCGCAGCCGGCAAAATAATAATAGGTTATTACCTCCTAGTTATTCAATTTTCACTCGTTTCTTTATTAATTCTAGTTATACTGTATTAATCGAATATATTGAATGTAAAATTCAAATCTTATTCTTCTATTTACTTGATTATCTTTTCGGTTGTAGAAAAGCACACACACACACACATACCAACACTCAAACTGGAATTTCCATTTAAATTTGTATAAAATATTACCAGTATTTTCTTTTTTAATTTTTTTATTGGTTTTATGGAAATGTATTGCATCACAATTTTGGATTAATACATTTGAAAAATTAATCGATTGGTTTGGCTTTTATCAAAAATGGGTTTGCGCAGCCTTTTTTTCCAAAATCGAATTTTAGAACTGTTTTTGGGATGCGTTTAATGTTTTTTGTAGAAATGATTTAGTTTTGAATTAAACGTGGTGGATTGAAATTGTGAAAAGTGTAAATGAATTGTGAATTCGTACTACAATCGAATTGGTTAACTAACTTTTAATAGATTTATTTTGACTGGTTACAAGTGGTTGGGCTTATTAATCGAATTTCATCAATTGTTGATTTCGTTTGCTTTTAATTTAGAACATGTAAATATTGCTGCTTTAAAATCAATTGAAATTGAGTCAATGATATTCATCGTGCACTTGCATGCAAAAATATATAGTAAAAATTTGTTTTTATATTGAATTTGCACTTCTTAACGTAATTTGTGTAATATTCTTTTTTCTTTCACTAAAATTATATTTTCACAATATTCATCATAATTTCAAAGCACCATGCACGAATTATCGTAGATTTTTTTCTTCGAAAAATTGGTATATTTTTCAAACCATGTAAAAAAATATATATTTATTTGAAATTTGCTTTTGCACCGAATCACATTCATTTTTTTGTCTTTAATGTTATAAACTAGTGAAAATAAATTCAAATTTGCTAATATTTATAATATTTTTTCAAAAAACGAAAAAAAAATCGTGTTGGAATTCAAAAAAATTAGGTGTAGACTGGAAATCATTAACGATTCCAGCATGTTTGCCAATCACAACGGATTATTTTCCCGATCAACGTTCGCTGCATAATGACTATGTTGTGTCCGATTACACATTATTGCCGGATAGTGTGAATGCAGAATACGCTGCGAATCGTGCCATTTATCGAAAACCATTGACTACAGAAGAAGTTTTCAGAGAACTGATATCGCAACGATTGGCTCAGGTAATTGAGGATATTTTGTAATTGAAATGACACTAAATGTTTCTGTCTATTCAAGGGATTCCAATTGATTGTAATGCCCGACAAAACTGACCTGAATCCAAATACATCACTTAGTATGCATTTATCACGTCCAAATTCGGGCTGTGGAAATGTATCAATTAACCATTTGAAAAGCGGTTCAAATATGATTGCAAAAACTTCAACACCAATTCGTGCCTCAATTGTACAATCGACGAATACAGAACGATCCAAAGAGTTTTTACTATCAATTGGACGAATTTTTCATAAAATTGGTCTTATCGATTCCGAAATTACTGTTACACGATATCGTCCACGTCATCCGTATCCACCAATCAATGTTGATTATAGGTATCGATTTCAAGCGCCGCAACACTCAACTTACGAAATATCTGGCGTAAATTTCACCACAGAGAAATTGGAACATTTCAATTGGAATTACATGGATCAATATATATGTACACGTGGTGACAACGATTATTTATTGCAAGAGGTAAGGGTTTTCAATTTTTGCATTAAGCACTTTTTTCATTAATTTCTTTTCAAATAATTAATACGCCTTTTATATTTGTCAGAATTTGAAATATTGGCGGTATCGATTGTATTTGTTACCCAAAGAGCATCCAGCAACCAAAAAAATTCTCGAAAGTCCAACCGTAATACCGTGCGATATCTATACGGAAAATAATGGTGATTGTCTAAAACAACAGACCGACGATTTTATGCGTTTTGTTGAATCACATCTTAATAAATTACGCAAAAGTCACATACAAAAGAGTACGACCAGGGTAAGTGTTACTTGAACATTGGATATGCGACACAAATAAAGCGTTGATTTTGTGTAAATAGGTTGAGAGTTAACTTAAACGTTCCATTCATGAAATGAAATGAAATTAATTAATTTTTTTTTGATTTTCTTTTAATTTATTTTGAGTTTTATACAATTTGCTAATTAATATGAATATTATTTTTTAACACTTATTTATTCAACGTAATTCTAATTTGATTGATGCGCCAGTAATTAATTCAATAACAATAGAAAAATACACGCATATAAGTTGATTAAAGTTATTTAATCGATTTAAAATGAAATAATACCACAATAGGCATTAAATTTTAAAATTGGAATTCAAATTTATTTTTTTTTTTTGGGTTCAATACACACACACACATTGCATTTTTTCCCTCTTCTAATTCGGAAATGAGCGAATTGTTTGTTATAACTATTCCATTAAATTAAGTACAATTTTCCAATGTTATGAATATATTTTTCAATTAACAATTTCATTGGCAGACACAAAGTGAAAACAAATTTGTATGATGATAAATATATATATAAAAAAAGTAGCATGCAGATTTTGCAAGTTTGCAGACGTTGCAAGCAATTTAGAATATTTTATGCTTAGTAGAGTTTGGCTTTGAAGTGTCATTTGTATCGTTTGCTTAATTTCCATTCAACCGTCTAAACAACATCTGAATCAACTGGATAAACAATTTTACCATATATATCGAATCTTACAGCCGGATGCAATCTGAACTTAATTTCAATGAGCGCATTGTTGATGATGATTTTTTTCCTTGTTTTTTTTTTTTTTGTTTTTTCTCTACCTTTCTTTTGTTTTTAATTATTTAACTATTTTTTTGTTCTTTTTTCTTTTTATTTTTTTTTTGTGTTGAATTTTATACTTTGAATTTCAAAAACCGGTTTGTTGCCTATAGTTACTGTTGCAGGGAAGCCCTACTGTACAACAAAGTCATCTGACACGACGTCGACACAGTACCAGCATATTACCAAGACCGCCGCCACAGGTGCACATTTCAATCAATTATCATTTCGGCAAAAAAAAACATATTCATATTCCTTCATGTCTTGTTCAAAGTTGAAATTGAAGTTCTCCAATTTTACCCAGAATGTTAGCTGTATGGCGTTCTCTTTTTTATCACTCATTCATCCGTCACATCTACACACACACCCATCGACATTTATTTTTATTTTCATCGAGCGACCGTTCATTTATTTATATATCTTTTTGTCAATCATGTTTGTTGGTCTTTTTCTGTACTTGTTCAGTTAATTATTTTGGCAGTGGAACATTTTCTTCTTCAGGCATTGTTTTCATTTTGTTGCCTTACGACCAATATCTCTCTCTTTTTTCTCTCTCTCTCTCAGCATCTTTCTTTTCGATTTTGTTATATATTGTAAACAAAATGCTAATTTTGGTTTTTGTATATTTTTTTGGAAATTGATTTTTGCATGCATTTATGAAATTTTGTGCTATCTAGATTATATTTTTAGATGAAACAGGTTTACTCACGTTTGGTTTTAATATAAATTATAGGATATGCTTATGGTTAAAAGAAAAAAAAAACAGTCTAAAATGCATGCACCAAACTAACAAAGAAACCTGATTCATTTGGTGGTATATTTTGTCAACAGAGTGGTTCAAAATTAAATTTCGATTATAATGGTGTATAAGAAAGTTTTTTGGCAAGAAATTTAATAGATATAATATTTATTTTAGTCATTTTGACACTAACATATTCAACTAACTTGAACAAAAAAAATTGGAACACTCTCTTTAATACACTAACCATAGAAATGCATTATAATCTCTTGTTCACAAGGTACTTATTTGGAAAGTGGTTTTTTAAATTGAAAATTCTGAGTGACGAAAAACTGAAGGAAAGTCTCTTATTGAATCGTTTAATTAATTTTATTTTATTTTCGTTTTTGTTTAGGTGTTGGCGAATTCGCCATTTAGAGAACGATTAGGAAGTAATCGTTTGCCAGCAACGAGACCTAGGTACAAATTTTTTTTTCAGTTTATAAATTTGGTAGAAATTTTCTGCATCTCTCTGAACCACAATAGCATGGTTTTCGATTTATTGAATCTGGTGATGCCGTTAATTTATTTTCATCTTCGCCATAGTCAAAACAAAGTTCCTCGTTCGTTGCAATTGATTTTTTGGCAAATATCGCTATGAAATGGAACAGAACAAAAAAAAATGTGTGACTCATTCCAATCCACGGTTGAATTTATATGCCTTACCTAATTTCGGTATCAATCCATCAATACGAACGCTAATAATTTCACAATTTGGATCGCAGCTATGGTTCAAGTACCGACCAATGTTACCGAATCGACTTGGATCGATGAACGTTTGAATTGTTTCATGAATGCCATTTGCTTGACATCCAATCGGTTTTTCATTAAGACAAATAATATAGTTCATTTTTTGATTTTTATCATTTAACAGAGTTCGCATTGTAGCCTCTTCTTTGGTTAAAATTTCGCCAGCATATTCACAAATAAATGCACCTTGTGGAATTGTCTGCAGTGTAGTTAATCCATATTGTTTTCCAAATTGTGAATAGTCTTTGATTTGTAAATTTTGTCGCGGTCCAAATTGAACCAAACGATTATGGCAATTTGGATTACACAAACAGAATTTCGAGCACTCATAAATAACATCATGAGATCTTCGATGTTTATTTAATATCAATTCCCTTTGGTTTTGTTGATTCTCAAATACTATATAATTATCACCATGCATACAATCTGAATGAGCGCACCGATTTTGGCCATCACAATCGCATTTTATCGCAATAAATGCGTTAAATTGCTCGTATAATGTCCGAAATGAAACGCTGTTCGTATTTGTTGATTGCAAAATATTTTCAACGCTGTACTCTATGGTATCGTCAATGTGTTCGTAGTCATCACAAAATTCTATATGACATATTCCATTGTGTTCATAGGATTTTCCGCGATTTAAATAGTCCATCTGAATAAATATAAAATATATCATGCCGTTTAAATTTAATTTTAGATCTGGCAGTAAAGTGCTTGATCGAAGTAATAGCACCAAGGTTATGCAGGCCACGGAAGCAACTTCGATGGCATTAAATCCCGACCCAACTCTAGTGATTACCACCGAAGACAACGAAGAGACATTTTTAACGGAAACAAAATTAAGTGCGTCGGCTACCTTAACCGAAATTTTTGAAGCATTTCGACATCCAGTGACTGGCATCAGTTTCTTAGCAAAGGTGCAAAGTTTACCATCACAAACATTTGTTTCGTACGATGCAATACACTGGTTGAACAATCGAATTGAAGGACCATGTAATGCCGTTGAAATACTGGAACGAATGAGAAGGTGTGTAATTTTGTTTTTTTTCTATGAAATTGAATAAAAAAAAACTTTCATGATTTTTTTTTTCGCGCAGAGAGGGTATGATATGTCATGCATCCGGTGAAATATCGAAACCAATTGTGGCTGGATACTTTTTGTATTACATCGTACTTCAAGACTCCAAATCGAAAGATTTTGTAAAGCCACTGAACGACTTGGAAGCCTTCGAGAATGAGTGGATGGAAATCGAGTTAAAATACGAAAGTTCACCAAATGCCAAGGAGATGAATGTGCCACGCTTTTTGCATGATTCTGTTGAGATGCATTTTCTCGACGGTCCCGTTTACAAGCAATTACACTTGGAAATTGATCCAGCACAAAAGAGTGATCGTGTTGAATGGGGCCATGTTCGGTATCATACGACGGCAACGCCTGGTTATGCATTTGAATTGGTTGTACAATGGCTCACGTCATCCGGTCCAATTGTATACGATCTCATTTATGGATGGAGTCGCAAAGCGCAATTATGTAATTTCAATCTAGTACCAATTCCGGCCGATTTACTTGCCGAACCATTTACCGAAAAATCAGATCCACTTCGCGGACCAATTTTTATTCCATTGAATACAACATGTTTAGAAAAAGATGGAAATTTATTGTTTAAGGAATTTCGAAAGGAAACATTAAATGATCGCTTGATATTGTTTCAAGAGGCGATTGTAACACGATTCGGTTTCATGCCAGCATATGTTGAAACAAAAATGGGTTCGAATGAATCATCATTCGATCGGCAATATGTTCATTGTAGTGGTAATATGTTTGTATTGGTGCCATCACCGCATCAAGGTCTAAAGATTCGACGACGTCTTGCGTCCGGTGGTAAATTAAAGAGACCCACTTTTGTGAAAAGATTTCCATTGAATAACGTTTATAATGAATCACAAAATACGACACACGACACATACGTCACCCGGCATGTGAATCTATTACAAACAAATGAATTCGATGTACCGCGAAAAATTGGCTTTTTATGGTCATGGAATCATATGGTGCCGAATAAAAAATGGAAATCATTCACATTGAGCAGCTCACCGGACGCTGAACTATTTCAATTACGAATGTTGGCCGATTTTAAAGACTTTTGTTCGAATCAAAACGACCGTTTGTTGCACTTTTGGGAAGAATGTTGGGCTATAAAAGGAGCAATTATGCAAAATTCAGAGGAATAGTCTATTACGTATATTTACCAATTTTTTTTTTCTACTTAATTAAGATGTAAATTGTCTGGTCGTTGAACGAAATATGAAAGAAAATAAAAGAAACAAATAAAAGCATTTACGACAACAATGGTGTCATGCCAATGTGTTTTGTTTATAATATGACCATTTAGCTGTCAAATAAAGTGTCAAAATTCACCATTTTGATACTGATATGTCAATACGGCATTTAGAACCTTTTTCGGGAAAAAAGTCAACAAAAAAGCAGCTGCACAAAAAATAAATAGTAATAATTATACACAAAATGCTGGAACAAATTAATAAATTCATCGAATATTGGTGGTTTCGTTACTTGATGGTCACCGAATTATATATTGTTGAAAAATGGGAACGAGTTACCATGCGTAAGTATTGGAGAATTCGAGTGATTCGTTGATTTACAAGTAATAAGATATGTTTCTCCTGTTTTCAGATGTAATTCTGCTGATTCTTTTCTTGCTGGTGGGCTATTTCAATTTTAGTGTGGTGATGCCGTTAGTCTCAAAAATGATTCGACCTGTATTTGGTTGGCACGCTGAATGAAAATGATAACAATTTTGATTTAATTTATTAAAATATAGAATTAACTTTTTTCGTCATCATTCGTTTTAGCCCTTTTAAAATAGATGTATTTTGTCAGGGAAATAAATTTAAAGAATTAAAGAAAAGTGAGATTTTTAGTTTTATTTCGTTTTCATTGGTAAATCTCAACAGTAAATCTCAACAGTTTTTGTAGGTGGCAACGAGTTGTGGTTTTTAACTTGATCTTCTGTGTATTAGAAATACAGAAATTTGACCTTCACATTGTTCTGTCAAATGCATTCAAAAATATAAAATTTGCCAAAGAAACGTTTCACTTTAATTTCCTTGAAATTTTCAGGCATATTGTAGACTTGTGGTAATGTTGTACATTGTATCGTTGCTTGCTTTCTCTGGTTCTTTCCTATTACATTGTAGAAATACAACCAAATAGACGTAAAAATGGTAAATGAATTATGTTTCAATACTAGTGATATTTATTTTGAAAGTAAACAGCTCTTTATAAAAAAAAAAAAAACAAATTAAGATTGGATTTGGATTGGGTTTAATAACAAATTTATTGGAATCATTAGATTGATCATGAGCAAATGAGTTGCCATCAAGTGTTGCTAACGAATTAATTCTAATTTCGAACGCGTTTAAATCGTAGTCCCTACAAGTAAATAATGTTTTGCCATAAAAAAGTGAAATTTCTTCATTTTGTGTCTTTTTTTTACATTTACTAAACGAACAGAACTCTACAAATGCTTCTATCAAAGGAAAACCTCGACTCTTAAGGCAAAATAAATTCATGTGTGTGTATCAATAATTTCTGAAATAAAAGAGTTTATCGAAAAGAAATGAAATTAAGGATATAGAAAAGCGAAATGTTAATGATTTATAAAAATGAAATGGTGAGGGCATTGTTTGTCTAATGCTTGGCCTTCTTTGTGGCGGTTGGATTTCCAGACGATGTCTCAGCAATACGTTTCAAAATAATTGTGGCCGTTCGTGGTTTGATATTGTTGTGCTGCGTATTTGATTGTGTTGAACGAACTTTAACCACCGATGCGATTTGTTCCAGCGAATTTTTTGAATTATTCGATTCCTCTAGACGGCGACGCAAATCAATCACCTGCGCATTTAGCTCATTTATTTGCATTGAACAGCTTCGAAGCTTTTGTGCTTGACGATTTTGGATACCAATGACATTGTTTAGCTAGTTTATAAACAGAGAAGAAATTTTTTTATTCGTTACGCAAATGCAAATTTTTATATTTTAAGGGGCAAAATTAAAAAAAAAAAAAAACAAGAAAAGTAAAAATGGTGATACCTTTCGCATTGCTGTCTTGAATTTTCGTTCCATGCGAATGTAGTTGCTTTGGTATGGATCGACTTGACGAGCATTGATTGCTTTTTGTGGTGGTGATGATGATGACGATGATGATGAAGCACCTTGTTGAAATTGTGAATAAAGTGCTGGCAAAGACAAGCCCGATGTATTCGACGATGTATCAGTTGCATCTTGACAAATTAAATAATGAAAAAAAAAAGAAATGTTTAGACATTTTCCCAAATTCAAAATCGAATGTATCTTACAATGGTATTGGACATTTGAACAATTCAACAATGCTGCTCTGGTTGGCAGTTCGCAATATGCTCGTTTAAGAGTTGGTGCAATTTTTTCCTCAAAATGATCGATGGCCATGGAAGAGATGTCACGCAGCTCTTGCAAAACATCATGAGTTCGAAGTGGTTTATCGGACAATACAAACACTTCGGACATATTACATGGCTTTGTATGTGTAATAGAAGCGAAAACATGAAGAACTTCATCGATTACCTTGAACCAGATTTGGAATAGATGAGGAATTGAGTAAAATTTAAAAAAAAAAACCAAATATTTCAAAGGACACATACTTTTCCTGGTATGAAACAGCACAGATTAACTTCAATGTATTTTGTGTAAGTCATCGATAGCATAGAGATGCGAGTCTCGATACATGTCAAAACGTCCGAGTGTTTGCTCAATTGATGATTTCTACATGTGTACATACACGGTAACCATTTCACGTCAATATTTTAAATTGTGCATTCGATAAAGTTTGAAACAAACCTGCGTTCGGATTCACGCCGTGGCAATTGTGATTTAATGATTTTCAATAGCTGTCCATGACGCTTCATCACTTTATGGAAGCCAACATTCAAAAGGCCTTGACATATTGTATTGAATTTTTGACAAACCTACAATTTACACATAACAAAATAAAAATAAACATAATACACCGGATACAAGAGAAAGAAGAGAGAGAGAAAGAAAAATGCATGCAATTCGTTTATTAACTCATTGCGACAATGCGATCATTTTATTCATTTTTGTCTCTTTGATTCATGTGATGGCGATTTGAAATAAAAGCAATAAACACTTACGATACGCTGTTTTGCGATTTCATCGTATGATAAACACTCCAGAACTTGTTCCAACATACAATCGGGTAAATCCAATAGATTCATGATGATAATTATTTGCGACAAAAAAAAACTGAAATGTTTGTGTTATAACATAAATATTTGTATCGCCGAGCTGATAAATATAATTTATTGTTGAGTTTCAAAACTGCACCAGCTCCTTGGTTTATACACAAATGAACGTGAGAGAAACACTAACACTCGGTAAAATGTGAAAACTTTCGTCATTTGTTTTTATTGCGACTGACAGTTCTCTCACATATGTGAGTGAGTCAGTTGAATAAAAAAAGTGCATTCCGAAAATGTGATAAGCGGCCAACTTCAGTGCGGTGTTGTTTGATTTGAAATCAATGCAGCAGTTAGTGTTCCACACATCAAACGAGCATCCCAATCGTTCATAAGAAATGTGTGAACAAAAAATGTAAAATTTTTCAACGGCAAATTCACCGAGAAGAAGAAAAATCACACTTTAATTAATGAAATTGTATGGATTTGATGAAATTTACCAATTACAAGCATTAAAAAAATTTGGAAATTTAAATGCTGTCCAAACAAAACGGAGGCACCGAAAATTGTCGTTCATTAAAATTTGTGCAAAAAAAACAGCCTCGAAAGAACAATGGAAAATCTAATGACGAAAGCCGATACGGATGACTGGGAAGATAAAACTAAGCGCCGTTATTCTAAAATCATCATGCTATAGTAGTTATTCTTCCTTTTATCTAGATAACGTTCAACGTAGACAATGATTTCTTCATCGATTTATTTTGGCAATCCTTTTTCTTCTTCCACCAATCTAGTTTCTTTTGAAACGAAGTTTGCAAGCCTTCATATATAACCGTGGAAAGTGTTATTCCATTTTTATGATACGGTACCCGATAGATATTCTCTTTTAGTTTTTGATGTTTTTTCTATTTACTTGTGTGCATTATTCATTTCAATTCAGTTCCGACGTATTAGTCTTGACATATGTGCGCACACGTTACACCGCACTATGCATAGCACATTTTTGAATTGCATACAAAATTGAAAATGCATTGCGCCTTCGAAATGCACCGATTTTCTCTGTCTCTCCATTCATTTTACGCTGGAATGTTCTGTATGCTCTATTATAGATATATCGAAAGCTCTATAGAGATAATGCAGCAATGTGGCGAATACAACGCGAAAGAGTTGAACGATGTGCATGTGTGCTTATGCACTTGCACATGCACACCGTATCCAACGTGATTATTCAATCGACATTTCTTCTATTGTATTATTTGAATTTTCAATACGAAAACGTCATACAATTTGAACAAAAAGCACATTTTAGCAATAAAAAAAAAACACACACATTAGTAGGACCATTTGAATGTGATGGGTGAGAAAAAGAGCGAATAATTGAATGAACGAGATGTTTATAACGTACCGCTACGATATCATACACTAGTAAGGGAGTAAATATGTACGTAAGAGACAGAGAGAGAGAGAGTGAGAAAGAGCACATATATATCAGACACATGTTTGTTCAGTTTTTGGAGAGTAAAGAGATGATTATCGTTTATGTTTTGGTGTGTTTCATCCGTAGAAAACCGATTGCCGAACGGAGAGCGTGTGACGCACACGTGATATTGAGAGCGTAAGCGCCTATGAATGAACGAGAGCCACGAGCGCGATACGATTTATAAACCGAATGAAAATTTTCAATAAAAAAAACGCCACAGCCAACGAATACGAGCAAGCCTGCAATGTGAGATCGAATGATTCCGTATGTATGCGGCGGTATAAAGAACGGCATGCGATGTTATATATGTGATGGTATGCGTTATTTCGTTGTGTTTCTCTCTCTGTCTCCGACACTATTTGACAACTTGCTCTCTGTATAGCATACAACCAGAGCAGCTAACTGTGTGGATTCACACAACAGAATAGCGAAACTTTTGAGGAGATGGGCAAAAAAAAATAAAAATCGAGGTGGCCTTTTGCCTAGAACTCACATTGTATATAGTATATACGAACAGTAACGATTTGATAGTTGAAGAGTACTTATCGACTAATTCGGAAAGGTTGACACCGCAGCCCTGTACCTTGTACACTACAGTTTAGTTTTTTTAGTAGTTGTAGCAGATCTGTTGATCGACATCTAAAACATTTTTCAAAAACTTACTCACATTTTTCGCAGAAATTGGAAAATTGATACGAGAAAATGAAATAATTTTTTTTTCTGAAATTTTTGAATGCAATTTCAAGTAAAAGTTCAATACGATTGAAAAATATCTTGCGCGGCGTCAATACGAAATAAACAATAAGAATTAAAAAAAAAAAAAAACAATAATAACTGAAGAGCAATAGCAACCGATTCGCGCGATTATTTGAAAACGGACAAAAAGCCCGGTTTGAAAATCACACAAACGTTGAGAGAGAGAGAAAGAGAGTGCGAGAGATTACCAAAACAAAACACCGGCAACAACATTCAAGCGCGTGAATGGAAGAACACAATTGACATCAGTGACAACATGTGCGATTTCATTTTCAAATGAACTGATAACGATTGGTGTGAAACTGTGAATTATTTATAGCTAGTCAATTGTTCGGTAAACAGCCCAACTAAATTTCGATCCAAATCATTCAGAAATAGTTTATTGTATGATCGATTCTCATTATCATAATCGGGTTATATCGACACAAAATACTCTCAGCCAACGATCATTTCGACAAAAAGAATACTTTCTATGAAAGAGTTACACCGAAAAAAAATTATTAAAAGAAAGAGTTTAAGCGATAAGATCGATTTGTAATTTTACCGGAAATTGTGAAATAAAAGATTGTTCCATTTGAAAAGATCTTCTTTTGAATTAATATTTATAACATCGATCCAAACATTTCTTTAAACACTTTATTCGTCCTTTTTAAGTGCAAAACCATTTTTTATTTCAATTTAAATTGACATTTTAAGGACATTGTCATCAAGTGAACTGATTCTATAAACATTTTATTTCGAAAAAAATCTACATCACATTTGTGTACTGATTTTTCGGAGATTTTCCAGTATTTACCAACTGAAAAAAAAAAAAAGAATTCCTGCGATTAAAAAAAGAACTGATAGTGGATACAAAATAAAGGATATTGAAAAAAAAACGCTTTTTTAAAAAATTCGTTCGTGTTTTGAAAAACAGTTGATGAAGACAAAATAAAGAAGTAAAAGTAGAGAAAAAAAAATATATTGAAAAAATAGGTCTACCAGAAATTGTGACTCGTAAATTAAGAAATTAAATTGAAAAGAAACGTGAGAACAAAAAATAGCAGTAAAACAAGAAAAGCCAATTCGATATGGAGCATCAAATTCAGCAGGAGCTGGCTTCCGGATCGCCCGAAGTACCAAATTATCCAGGGTATGTATGTTCACAATTTACCATTCAGTTTGGTTTTAGTCGTGTTAAACACCAATGAGACAAGAAGAAAAAAAAACACCGAAATGCAAGCACGACCGAGGTGCATCCAAAGACTGTATGGCGAATGTAAGAAATTACCCCAATTATGTTACATAATTGTGTGTTCTTCGTAAATGCTATGGACCCGTGCGTTGCACATGTTCGGCATGGATCAAAGGTGCATTTTGAGAAATCAAATAACAAGAGAGGGAGAGAGAGAGAGCGAAACAGCAAGCGATTGTGAGATTTAAGAACAAAAAAATACTTTCAATGTGTATAATAAATGCACAAAAAACCGCATCGACGTGCAAAAAACAACCAAAAACAAAACTCGCCTGAGTATGTATTTGTAGCCGGAAGGAGTTGATTTCAGCCGTGGAGGAAATAGAAATAAAGAAAACTAAGAAAAACAACAACGAAATAACGCGAGTGTTTTTAAGTGCAAGTAATGATTGCAAGGATTGATACACACATAAAAACGATATTCCATTCAAGTTTTCACAGGACGGTTTTATCCTTGTTTTGAGTCTTCCGTTACGTATATAAATATATATACATATATCGCATCGCACGTTGACATTTCATTTTGTCATTTCAACTTTTTCACTCTCTTGTTCGAATACCGGTTGTCGTTCCTTTTCTCATTTCGTTTAGTTATATTGCGTCGTTTATTTTTCTTACGTTCAAACATAATTTCCCCACGCTCTGTCTTTGTCTGTATCTTACATACACAAAACCACACACACACTTTTTCTCTACATCTTGCTGTCTCTGTCTCTCTGGGTAACCACTATTCTCACACATTAGTGAGCAAGTAGCACCAAAAACAGCAACAAAAGCAACAACAAATGAAGAGCGAACATTTCATATAGTTGAAACGGGATACACGTGCACGTTGTGCAATAGCATTTTTGCTCATCCACAAATCAAACGCCAGTCACTAAAATATTAAATGTTTGCGTTTTTTCCCCCAATCTATCTATAGTGAATTCAACAAGAATCTTGTTCGATCAAACAGCTCGATACACATTTTTTTTTTTTGAAATTCGACCGCATTGGGTGAAATTTAAATGCCGCAAAAATGAAAAATTTCTTTACAGAATTTAAATCCAAATACGAAAATGATGATATGTGAATGATGATTATTGCAATCAAACTCGTACACAAAATAAACTGTTCTTTAATGTTTAGAAACAAATAATTTGTAATTCATTTACTATTTATTCCCCTTTTTTTCGGTGTGTGTTCTGTCCTCGGTCGTTCGTCGTTTCGTTTTCTGTTAAATTTACAATTGTTTTATGATGTTCCTCTATTACGATCGCACCGACTATGGACTGGGCTGGGCTGGGCTCCCAGTGTAGACAGTGAAAAATCGTCTTATCTACTAGGCTGTGCGTGATCTTCATTATATAAATGATATGAATATTATCTAAACGTCTTGGTTCATAAGTTGTCATTGTCGGTTACAATACAGACTGATTGTTGTATTTTTAAACGTTCTCCCATAAATTTCTTCTGTTTGTTTATTTCATTTGTTTTCTTCGTTTCTTCGGCGCGTATTAATTTTTTTTTATTTCGTTCACTTCATTCATTTCGGTTCACATTGTGCCTCGTTTTGCTCATTTGCCGTTGTTTGTCTTATATTACATCTTACTTTTTTAGCCCCTGTCAACTAACACATATGATGATGTTCAGCATTCAGCATACATTCCATACCGACCAGTGTATTCAAATAGAGATCATAATATTATTTTGTTTTTACTTATACTGAGAATTATGTCTCGATATGTGTCTGTGCGGCATTTACACAGATATGGATAAAGACCATGTCGCTGACAAATACAACTAAACCGGTTGGTATGATATGAAATAATTTGATATGATCTGGTGAAATCGTTGACAGAGGGTTCACAGGCAATTGGAAGTGAATTACCATCAATATTATGTTTACCTGGTCGCACTGTATATGTCTGATTGCTAAACCAATCAAACTTGAATTTTGTAAGAATATAACAATATAAAATATGGGCGCGCGACCACTTTTTATCTCATCTCATTCAATCAACGGAAGATTTCATCTAATGCACATGACGATTGAACACACGATTTTGTTTTGGTTTTATTTATCATCAATAAAATAGTCAATTCAAATAACTCATCGTCATATTCCTCTCTCCGTCTTTGCGCTTGTTCCAAGTTTATGTGACTTGTATAGCACCACAGATGATTGGTTAAAATTTAAATTAATAAATGGATAGAATTGAATGTAACGATTTTAAGTTTTTTAACGGCACACAAGCGTGCGCTTCAATAATTCGAAAAGTGAATGAATAAAAAAAAATACAAAGCGACAGAGATGTGTGTGCACACTTGCCTCTCTTGCTTTCACTCTCTAAAGGAATTCGTTCATTTCTCAGTTCTGTTTTCATTTAATTGATTCATATTATTCAATTATTAACATGAACGGTTTTAGTTTTGACATGTGTTATTTTTGTTTAGTTATGGTTGTTGGCGTGTGAGTGTGTGTGGAGCTCGAGCGAACGAACGAACGTGCCAGCCATAAGTGCCAGCACAACGGCATGTGATTCGAACCCGCCAGTGCAATCGAATGTTCATCGCTCATCTCTCATACAGTATGCACATTCCACTCAATACTTATTAATTTCGTTTCATTTGAAATATGACTTGAAAACTTTAATTTCAATCGCATATGCACTTGATTTCAATCATTCTCGTCGTATTCAGTTAGTATATGCACATAATATTCAATGTGTTTATAATTCGTTATGGTAAATAAATCGAATACATGGATTCTATCTGTATCGATACAATTTTTCACTTTGTTTCTTTTGTTCTCATCGCCATTGATTATTATTCATTCGGCATTTTCAATAACAATTAGTAATTTGTTGTCGTTCGTTATCGTTAATGTTGTCATTGCCATTAGTTACTTGTTTTATTGTGCATTTATCAGTGACGAATGCAATTGTTACGCGTTTGGTCGACATCGTTGAATATATTTATTTGGATAATGTTAAAACATGCATTTATAAAACAATTCTTATAAACATTATTATTTTTTGTTTTCCATCGAAAATGTTCTCGACATAATAATAAATGGATATTACATAATTTTCAGTTTGTAATTTTGTTACACATTTTTTTGTTTTTGGTTCAAAGCGATTGTTTTGTTTACTTTAACCGGCGAACCATACGATAAATTCGATCATTATTTCCTTTATTTTAGTTTTTCTCACACCTTTTTGTGTGCAATCGTTTTGCCAACGGTCAACCGAGGAGAAAACCATGCAAAACAAAACAAAAGCAAAACTGCTGAAATGCAATGCAACAACGTGAAAAATTCAATTGAATAATTTGAATAAAACAGTTGCTTGGCGTTCGATTGCATGTAAAATCCATCGCAAAGATAGAATTAACGGAATATGTAAATAGAATCCAATGGAAAGAAAAAATATCACTTGACAAAAAAAGGCCCCTTCGCTTATAGACGCTTGGTTACATTGTCATTTCCTATTGTCATACCGCCACCGCACTTTGGCCATAGTCGTGCAACACATTTCTTGCGGCAAATGAGAGATGTAAAGTGAAAACTGTGTTTACACCATACATTTCGGTCTAAAAATGAGAGAAAAAGAGAATAAAAGGTAGCAAATTGTAATAGTTGTAATTATTGTTATTAACTTCTGCATCATATCTACGCTCGAGCACGTTTATGTGTGTTAAAGCCAAGCAACACGGAAAAATGTGTGTACACAAAAACTCAAAAAGATGAGGTATGAATAGAAAATATAAACAACACAAAAATAACCAGATAATTAGTTTCACACGACGACGACAACGACGACAATGACAATTATAAAAAAAGATGATCCAAAAAAATAAAATCGTCGGCATCGGCACATAGATGTGACGTAGTTGTTGACACCACACCACATATTCGCTATTAAACATCAATCAATTTGTAATGATGACTAAGGCACCAACAGACATTTTATTAGTTTCATTGATGTTCAGAGACCAAAATGCTCACTGCTCTTACTCTTTTGCTAAATCGATCGTGTACACGATAATTTTAATGGCGCTTTTGATTCATTTTTACGACACACAACATCTGAATTTGTGTGGTCGGCTAAGCGTGCTCCCGGAGTGGCAACATACAATGCTTCTGTTGATGCAACTAAAATAGTACAATTGAAATGCTATCGTTTTGCTCTTTTATTTCATTTCTTTGCAGTTAAGCGTTAAAATTATAACAGCATATATTAAAGAGATTTAATTTGGTAGGTGTATTGAAAGAACTCTTTCTTTTCTTTGTATTTAATTCTGGTGTAATATTGTTAATGATCCTGAATCGAAATTGCTAAAAAGAACAAAAAACTTAACCATGTCGAATCTTCTTCTACCTACTACTGCCTTCTTCCTAATTCTTTTTGTTTTTTATGTAGAAAGGTGTGATCAACCTAAAACAAGAAATTAAAATTCTTCGTTTTTTTTACTGCCATTCTCTCTGTTTGTTGATGATTTTTTTTTATCAAAAACTATCGTTCGACTTAGAACTTGGTGAGCAAACAAAAATAATAAAAAAATTAGTACGCATACAGGCAACAGTCATTATGCAAACAAAACCATGTCATTTCAGAGAATGCACAGCGACAACGAATAAATGAAGGAATATGGAACAAAACATAGAGATAGGCATGTCAATAAAGAACAGTCAACAATAAATGCTCATTTGGAGCAATGGTAAATAACGATCGAGCAACCAATGTTCATTTTGGACCGGAAAAAAAGCGCAACGATACGTGTGTTTGTGATGTCGATCTTAGTCGTCAATAAAAAAAAAAATATTTGGAAAAATAAACAAACATTCAAACCAAAAAAGGTTGAAATAAAAAATGTGTCCGAAAATGAAACAACACGTCATCAATTAGCATCTTGTA